GAAATACAACGCTTCCATCCAGTAGACTAATTAAGGGCAAGGTTAAGAAACAGCCCTGTTAGATGATTAGCGGATTGCCTTATTCAACCAAGCCGGCCTTGTTACGAATGTAACAACACAGGTAATAGGATTTGAGATGCCTGCCGCCTTTCCTGCTAGGTACTTGGGTTTGAACTGGCGCCGGCTTCAAGCGCTAGAGGCGTGGCTGCTATCGTGTCGATGGGATATGGGAACAGAGTTGGGCTCGTGAGAATGCAATACCGGTATGTGATTGAAGGAAATTGAAGCATGACGCCGTTCCGAGATGCTTCTCGGTTGACGGGCAATTGAGTCTTGGCCGCCTTGAGTCTTGGCCGCCACCGTGAAGGCGCCTGCGTGGTATATTCAGCCGGCGTCGTGCTGGCTAGGCTAGGCGACGATGCTAGGCGAAAATCTCGACCGAGGTCTATTTCTTCATTTGGTCTACTATATAAACCTTGATAAATTCAGCTTGGCCTGCCTGAATACCGGGAATGAGCCAAGGTAGGTGTTCTCACTAACGATGCCTACCAAGAAATAGCGAAGTCGATAGTTCCCACTTAGAAGACCGAGACATTTGACGATAGTAGCCAATCACCAATCATGGTGTCTACCTGACTACCACACCCGTTTAGATAGGGATTTATATTGTGTCCGTAAACTGTGGTTCTCTTTTAACGGCGTCTATGTATAGTATAGCCAGTATTCTCGCCAAGTACGTAAACGTGGAAGATAAAAATATAAAAATAAAAATATTATCATGATCTTATTCCTGTCGTCATCGCGCTCCCCGTTGATAAAAGAGAAGCCCGGAAGAAGCCCGGTACTGTCGGTAGTTGATGAGACATCCAAGCATTTGTGGCGAATGATATGGTACCGTATGCTAGATTACCTATGGCTAGATAATGTCTGGCAAATCTAGTTGGTGCCCTGCCGCCCGTGGCTTGGATGATAGGTTAATAACATTTCGTCGGAGTTTAAGTTGGGAATCGAAATCGAGATAGAAACTATGACTAGATTTCGCGAGCGATGCAGTGATGTCCAATTCAAGGGTCAGGTAAGGCGTGTCCGTCCATCTGCTCCGTCTTGGGTAGATCTAAAGATCCTCCAGTGGGCATCAAAACCCGCTTAGGAAAAGACCCGGTAAGGTGGGCAAATCACGAAAGGGGGGCGGAAATGCGGCGCCGCGCAACCAGACGACGACACATACCGCGGCCGCGCTCGGAGCGTCTCGGAATGATCGCATCTTCTCGATAAGCCTCGTTGGGTACGCAATGGACCGAAGACCGTAAATAGAGACAACTGTCAAGACCGAAACGTTTGGGAAGGCGGGATCCAAGAATATCTCACTAAATACATCCGCCAATGCTCGGCGCATCAACTAATGAGCAACAACGATGATCACTTGGCCTTGGCGGTTCTATCGACAGAGAGATATCTTTAGTTTAATGCCGACGCCTAGATTCATAGCACGAACTTGAAGTGTTCCGGTCGAGCGAAACTCATATCCCATCGGCTATCGCACCAGTCAGTTGCCTTGCGACGATGAGCTATGTGGCTATCGTTGATCAGTATTTTTTTTTCTTTGCAATAGTATCTATGTAGGTAAACTGGTTTCATTTTCATAGATCATCATCTACACTACATAGGTGTTCACACCTGATATGACGCATGTAGGATCGGGCGTCGAAGAGACTGGCTCGTGTCACCATTCCAATGATGGATGTTTATCCTCGTTACACGACAAAAAAAAACTTCAACGAATAAGCTGGACTCTTCGTAATTGCGTCTGGCTATTATTTCTACGTTGTCTGAAGGGGTTCAGTGGCGTCAGAAACTTGAACACTTACATCATCTCGATCGAAACTCGTAACGTAGTCGACAATCATGATTCCTTTCGAATGCTTCTGGCGTCTAATGTCAAAAAAACCGCTTCTATTATTATTAGCGCACGCTTCGTTCTTCTAATGGCGGATGTAAAAACCACCGGCTCTTGGCGGGCGCGAGACGTAGGGTAGTGGCTGGGTCGGACGCGCGACGCCAAGGCCTTGGTCTGAACCAGCAAATAGATGAAGGTTTTCTTGGTATTGCCAATTGTTTTTGCTTCCGAACATAACTGAGGACCGAATTACACAGCCAAGAAACTCACCAACGGCAATCACTTTTCGAGTATTCTGTTAATCTCTTTTTTGACCAATTCGCAAAATATGTAACTTGGCACAAAAGCAAACGTATCCTTGGCAGGGAATGGAAGTACTGGTAACTGCGAAGAGGGGAAATTCGTCTTGGCTTCGTATCTTTCTAGAACAGATGTCGAAGAAGATGGGTACACGAGATCTACCCATATGCCTGATTTTCGCTGCAGTGTCCTTTAGTAGATACCTATCACGTTGTTGCTAGATACCGTAACTTGGAAAACACCGGTCATCTGAGGATGATAATAGAACGTCATGTTTCGTATTATACATTATGCTAGTACTGTGCCCTGATATCTTGCTTCCTGATTTACACTAGCCCTTTAAGACCTTCCAATCGGGTTTCACTCTCGACCAATGCTGTTCATTCCTATTACTTTTACAGAATGGTCATCGAGCATAAAGTTATGAAGATATTTCGACTTTTCGGTGATTTATGTGGGAATAGCGCCCCTGGGTTTACCCACTTACACGATAGGACCACCCACTCTGAGCTGGGGCTCTCTGGCTGTCTGGGGTCTCCAAGGACCCAAGAAACAGCTAGAGATAATCCTTTGATTAAATGGTACATTAGAGCCTTTTAAAAGTAACGAATAATACTGCGGTAAATACAAGCTATGAAGTGTCTCCCTCCACATTATCCCCGTTTCGCCGCAGTGGTGTCTCTAGGAAGTATACGATACCCGTTATGGTACCTCCTACTCCCACTACGGTTTGATTACATGTAGTATTACGACACTAGGCGTGCTTGACGTGAGTTATGCTAAACTACTAACTAGTCGATATCGTAATCTCACGTTCTCCATTCTGACCCATCGATCTATACATAGTACTAAGGTACTGGAATTGTAGATGGTCTATGTACATACCTACATACTCGCATATACTACATACAGTAACTAGACGATGGTCGACTTTGCCAAGGCACGCATGGATTTTGCCGCGCAATTACTGCGCACACATGTCCTACTCAACTCAGGTTCTCAAGGGAGCCAGAGCCAATATTTCGACACAAAACACTATGTATGATGCCGCTGAAGCAATGTACGCCAAGTGCTTTGAAAGTCCGAGACTCAAAATTGAAGCAGTACTAGTATCTTATATCACCCCTTGGGAATTGGGCTTTGAGTCTTTTTTTTCCTGTCCTCCTCATTCCTGGTTGTTTTTTTAAAAAGTTAACTAACAACTTAAGTCGACATTTCTTCTCCCCACGCCGCCGCCGTGCTACCCACTACTCCCACTTACAGCCATTCCACTTACAGCGATTCATTTTATACACTCATAGCATATTCCCTAGTACAACCACCCCAACTTCAAACCTGACCGGGCCACACATCAACCTTCCTGCAGGCCGCTTCCTCTAGCCCCGTCTCCGCAGGGTCCTCTGCAGCTAGCTAGTATAGGTTATCTTTACTCTCTTGTACTGGTGTACTATACTACCTTGACTACCTAACCTACAGACGCCTTTCGTACTTCGCACTTTGCTGCGAGCTAGGGTACCGTAGTAGTGGGTTGCTCGCATGCACATTACGACTTGGGCCAAAGATCAACAAAGTGCCCACAAGCTTCGACTTACATACAGAATATAACGCTCACTACATACCATGTCGAGAATTCAGCCCCTAACCTAACTCTACAATTGCTATTATAATACCGGCTCCCATCCTCTCCCGGATCTTTCCTTGCCTTCCTCCTCATCGCTGTCTGCCTTGGCATTCAGGGAACGTAGATCTCTGGACCCTATTATACATAATACATCCGTAGTGTGTGCAACCCACGACATTGCAGCATACTACATTTATTATTAAACACAACCACCACCCACCGTCGAACACCTGCATCGAATATTCGAAGAAGGACACAGCCAAGCCACATTTCGAGGACCCTTTTGTCTTTTCGTTATTAGGTTTTACCTCGGACTTGTTCGATGTACGAGACTTGACGACATCTCCGAAAAACGAGAAGGATCGGTTACTGTTTCTGCCGTCCCGTCGAGGTTACCACAACTATACTAGACCGGTATTGTTCAGCCGCCTTTAGGACTTAAGGAGAGAAGAAAACATCGGATGCTTTTCTTCACCACCGACCAGCAAGAACAAAGAACGTTATCGGAAACCCGAATCGACCGAGTTACTTCTCCGACTACCGACTACCGAGGGTTCTCCGTCCAGTCAGTAGCGAGAAGGGAATCCTTAGTCTAAACTTGCCTAAGCCGCTAGTTCTTTTGGCTTGACCTTGATAGAGAAGGAAGAAGAAGAAAAGGGCTGCTTAGGCTAGGATATGGGCTGGTGTGCCTGGCCGGATCAGTCTAACTTTTTGGATACGGCCCTTCTAGGTCTAAGTTGGTGAAGCAGCGCGGAAAATAACGCTTCTCATAAGTTCGAACCACGGCCGAAGTCCCGCCATACGTTCCGTTCCATACGTTCCATACGTCCCAACCAACGTTTGTCAGCTGCTTCCACTTAATCTGCGACCCTCCGACCTTTTACAACCAGCCGTTATAGGTCATTACCTCCTACAGTCATCATTATCCCACCGATTCTGACCCCCGCTAAGGCGTTTCCCACCTAGGGTTTTCCCACCTAAGCTAAGCTAAGCTAAGCTAAGCCAAGCCCATTCCCTCCAGCTCAGGTATTTGACCTGGCAAAGCAAGCCTAGCGCTGCCCTGAGACTAGCGCCCTGCCACAATTACACTTGCATAGAGGTAACTTGTTGTACCTACTGGTATTGTACAATACTAAAAGTGCATAACTGGATCGGTACAAAAGTACCAATCAATTTATAACAATGGCAGCCCCACAAACCCAAACCAAGACCCTGTCCCCGGCGATGTCATCGCTGTTGCCCTCCGATAACTCGCATTCACCCGCTTCAAGCCAGTCGTTGCATCCCTCTTCCTTTGACACCGCAACAACAGCAGGTGACGCTGCGACTTTTGTTACTCGCATTTCGTCATCTGCATCAACAACTCCTTTAGGTATATTCAGCCTCCCCAACCCACTCTTTCTTCAAAAAAAAAACCTGACCTTGAAATAAAAATAAATTTATAATTACTAACTAATTTCTTACCCTACAGACATCTCTCCGTCACCCTCTATTACTTCTCTCAATACTACAAATACCACTACTACCTCTACTTCCGCCTGTTCCAATAACAGTCTGACTCCAATTGAGTCGCTGAGGCGTTATCCCCTAGACCTCACAGATCCAATCCCCGAGGAGCACGACGAAGAAACCGAAGAAACCAGTAGCGAGTCTTTTTCTAACGAACCCGCTACACCAATTAGCGGGAGACAATCACGGGATTTTCGCTATTGCGAACAGAACGATACTTATCTACGTCGCGACTCTGTTACTAATGGTCTCGCTGCTTCTGCATCAGGTGTTCAAGAGCATTCCGATGTTTCCCTGACTGTTGTAAATAAAGACGCCGCGAACCCTGCTCTTTTATTTCCTCCTTCAATTGTTACTCTTCCTCCTCAATCCCAAGATACTCCATTGTCGCCTACGTCTATTGTGCCAGTGGTTTCTCACGAACCATTAAATAGACCATTTACGACACAGCCTGAATACAGTCGATCTAATTCAGATCGACGTCCCTCATCTACTACAGCGCCAGTAAGATTTATTGCGCGACGTTCTTCGTCTGCATTATCCAAGATGGCGTCAATTTTTAAGCGCAACAGTTACCACGTGGGGGACAGCAGTGTAACAACGGAGTTTAGGGAACCCAATTACAATGGAGAGACATCCGATTCCACTCTTGCCTCTACCAATAGGGTAACCCCAAACACAAGCCGTCGTCGCTTCTCTTATCAACGCTCGGTCGTATCGACAAGATCAAATACCCCACCGTCACCTGCCTCTCCTTCAGATTCGCTTCCTAATTCACATGAAAAGGCCAATAATGCATCTCTACCTACGTCGCGCGACTTTTTAGAAAACAACTCTAAGAAAGCCAGGGCCAGCACAGGCCTTTCTATTCGCAACAGAGTAGTAGGGTTTGCATCGAATAAGACTCATTCACACCGACGAACAAAGAGTCTAGAACGAAAGAAGAAGAACGAGGAGGAACTAACAAGACAGCCATGGGCAATCCCTCCAGACGCCGGTACTGGCATGAAGGCCAGGAGACTGAGTCTCAGTCTTCCCGACGACTTCACGGTTGACGTTGCAGATCTCACGAAAGAGTTCGAATACCAGCACAAATTCCTAGGCCGCCATGGAAAGCACTTAGGTAAAGGCGCAACGTCGAAAGTTACTCTTATGGTCCGTAAGGGCAGTCCTGGCGAGTTATATGCCGTTAAAGAGTTCCGCCATAAGAGCTCATCGGAAACCACGGAGGAGTATGAGAAGAAGATAAAATCCGAATACAGCATCGCAAAGAGTTTACACCACCCAAACATTGTCGAGACTGTTCGCTTATGCACCGACCACGGACGTTGGAATCACGTAATGGAGTACTGTTCCGAAGGCGACCTTTTCGGCTTGGTTTCCAAGAAGTATCTCCGAGATGAGTCCCGCGAAATTGACCGTGTGTGCTTGTTCAAGCAGCTCTGCCAAGGAATCAACTATTTGCACTCGAATGGCATCGCCCATCGGGATATCAAGCTGGAGAATTTGCTGATTACCAAAGATAGCAAGCTAAAAATCACGGATTTTGGTGTTTCTGAAGTCTTCTCCGGTATACACCCTGGTCTGCGGGAAGCCGGTGGCCAGTGCGGTGTGGGTATGGGCGACATACGTCTCTGCAAACCTGGTATCTGCGGCAGTCTCCCATACATAGCCCCCGAAGTCCTTAGTAAGGATGTTGACTATGATCCCCGCGCCTTGGACGTTTGGAGTTCGGCTGTTGTCATGCTGTACCTTGTCTTCAACGCCAACTTGTGGGAGAAAGCGCAGGCAGGCTTGACATCCCCAAGTCAAAAAACGTATAACGAACTCAATAATGGTTGGACGAAGATCAATGCCAAGAAAGAAGCGAACCCCGATACCATCGGCGACGATACCTATCCCAAAGTTACTGCGTTTGAGATATGCGTCAAGCCGGCACCTCTTCGACGTCTGCTATTGAAAATGCTCAACCCCGACCCGAAGAAGCGCATCACGATGAGCGAAGTCATGTCGAATAGGTGGATGAAGAATGTCGAGTGCTGCCAGCTGGAGAGCTACGAAGATCCCACCAAGTTTATTGATGCCTCCAAGAAAGATTGGATGAAGTCAGGTGCAAACAAGATCTTCTGTCACAATCATTTACCTCCTATGAGCACAGGACACGGCCTACCTCCCATGCCTGGCAAACCCGGCTATTAAGGAGCCTTTTTTTTTCTTTTCTTCTTCTCTTCGTTGCATAAACTTTAGGCTACGATTTGTGTTGATATGGCGGCGTTCTACGGAGATATCCCAGGAGATAAGGGAGCGGGCGACAAGGGATTTTGTCGCAGTGGTCTGCATTTTTTCTAAACGCGGTCATGGATGATATAAAGTATTGGTGCCAACACCGTACATACTAAATTCCTTTTCTTTGATCATATCTTTTTGCGTTGCGTCGACATTTGAGTGGCTGAGCATAGCACTCACGGTTACCAGCATAAGCATCGAGGGAGGTGGTATCACAGTTGAACCCCAAAAATTGCACGAGCGGGCAGGGATTTCACGAGGCATAGTTCTGGCCTTTGCAGTATCAAATTACATTACCCTAATGCTAGAAATCGACTTTTGCACGGTCCTACTTCATAGGGCTAATCTAGGGTTGGTCGTCCCTCTTGATAGAAGCTTCGTCATACCGCGGCTTTCCCCGCAGGAAGCCACAATAGAATACGTTAAAGTAAAAATTTAGTACATGCAAAGTGATATTATGATGTCTCGTATATTACAAGAATGTCTGAAGTTGGTCCCGACACAATGGTAAACCGCCGGCGTGGTGCAACTTGCAGCTAAGTCTACCTAATGTATTAAGACACTGTAACTACATAGAGCAGTGCTCAAACCCAGGCGCATGGCAAGGGCTAAACAAGGTAGTACACATATTTTGCTTTTCCCCCACAAAATGTAAGTATCCAACGTCAACGGCCGGGCACGGGAACACAGATCGTTGTAGGTGGCGTATTTGGGGTCTAACTTGTGTGTTACCTACTCCGAACGGTGCTTCTCCAGAACGCCAGTATCGAACCGACGACAGGTTTAATCATATGGACGTAAGCCTAATCTCCTGTCTGTCTACTTAGATTTATCTCTTGATCGGCTTAAAACACCAGGTTCGTTGCGCCGTTTAAAGAAAATGCGTGATGGTCCAATATCATGATTTGCGAAAGCGAGGATCTTAGATTTGCCTTTAGATCTCGTGAGATTTAGCATGCATGCACAGAAAAATACGTTATGTAATGGTAAGTATTTCGTATAACTACTTGTACATACTTGTACTTTCCTACTTACAAAGCTAAACAGCTTATATAACCCTAGCTCTTCGGCGTCGGCGTCTCGCGTTGATGGAGTAATCAGTTAGGACGCGCTAAACAAGCGTTTTTGTTCAAATCTTAAAAGCTAGCGCAGTTGCGAATCCTCGTTATTCCCGGGCGTACGGGATTTTCCAACGAACAGCCAGCCCTTCTCGTCCGTTCGCGACCAATGAATCGTCTCCGCCTAGCGTAGCGCTCACAACTGGAACTGGTTCGCCCCTTCAAATTGTCTAGCGTAGCAGCCAAGAACAAACAAGCCTTTTTCGCAAATGCAGAACCTGCATGGTGCGTCTACCAAAATGGCTCCCTTGCCCTGGTTATGGTTCTATCTTGGGTACTATCTTTCGCATCAATCTAAACAGCAGGTACAGTACATACATATGGATACTTACCTGATGTACCTACATAGGTAGGTATCCATAATTGTGCACTACCAGACTACATAAATTTATGTACGTATGTACTACCCGTACTATGGATCAAAAAGACCTGGACCCCCGGCGCTCAAAGTTGGCCAATCGCATTCTCCGCTTTGGCATGTTGTCTATCCGGATGCGGTAATCCACTTTCCAGAACCCAGAAGCAGGGAACAGGGAAAGCGCTGGGAACAACTGTGTGTTACCACGTGTGGGGGAAAAGAGACCCTTAGGTTTCCTTGCTCCTTTTTTTTTTTTTTTTCGGGCACATGGTTCTTTACTTTGCCTGCCGACGCGCGAGAAAAAATAAAAAAAATAAAGAAAGAAAAGAAAAGGTTGATATGAATAATGGCAATAATAATGGCAATTAACTACAGTAATATCGCCGAAACACTTCGACTACCTATTACGGAGATAATGAATAGTGGATGAAGTTTAGCAAATGACTCGTCCGAAGGAGACATACTGACATATCAACTACACTCATACATACACGTGTAGAGGTAGTGGACCTTTTCGTTTTCCTCCCTCCCCGTTACTTTCGGTACCGACCCCGGCTAACAAACTCACGTGTAGAAATATCATCATCCCTTTTCCGCGCTTGTTGCCGCTTTTGCCGCATCGCCGGGCATTCCTCCCTCGATGCGGTTGGCGATGCTGTTGTTATTGTTGTTTCCTTAGCCCGTGTGATTCGTGCCCGCCGTGACGATGGGATTTTCCCTACATCTGCGAGCTCGAGGCGGCCGGTGCGGTGTGAATGGAGGGGGAGAGGGTGATGCGGGAGTGATAAGATGGGGTGGCAGCTTACCTGCCCGGGTTTTTCGATTAAGCAAAAATCGGCGATCCGTCATCTGAAATTCTAGACTTGCTACGTACTAACATACCGGTCGCTTTCTATACGTTCATACATCCACCCATCCATCCATCCATCCATACACATATATCTCATCTCATCTTATGCCATCGCGATTTCATTTATACCTGCGCGCGCGCACGCTGGGTGAGATTCCGCTAGGGTATCATCACGAAGAAAAATATCAGATCCCGTCGAGTAGGGCCGCGGCTTTGCTCCCCTTTGGCGGGTGATCATACATACATACATAGATGCATACATACAACCCCGACACGGTTGGATTTTCAATTGCATCGCTTCCACTTTACGTGGGGGGTTTTAAGTAGTTGGGGGCATTCCCCGGTGCTCTGTTCCGGCTTTCCAAACGCGAACTAGCATCGGCTTATTACTAGTATATCTCATTTTATTTTATTTTATTTTTCCTGCTGGGCCTCGGCTTTACACTACTGCTACTACGGTACCTGAGGTATTGTTGGTTGAAGCGGTTGAAACAAGTGCATGATAGCTTACGGGGCGAAGAGACGCGTGCAGCACAAAGTGCGCTATGTGCAATAGTAGGGATGAAGCGGTCGTCTCCCATCGGCCAGAATAGCCTTTCTAGTGGGTATCTACAGTCACACGCACGCGGTTTGTGACGAGGTACGTAGGGACCCGTACATACGTGGTGTACTGCAAGTCGAGATATCCCTCTGCGCATACGCAGTGTCAATCAATCCTCACTGTCAATCGCGCATAGTTTTATTAATATGTATGGTACCGTATGTACCGTATAGTACGAGAGCTATACGGAAAAAAGGACGTGTCTTGCAACAGGGCGACGTCACTACGATGGGAATAACGCCTAGACAAGGCTCGATCGGCTTGTCCAGGTCCCCCCTTCCCTCCAAGTCCCCTGCCCAGCCTGCAAGACGGGGCGTTGGCGAGATGTCGGGCGCCTTGGCAACGATACGCCAAGCGAGCCGCATCTTGAGGAGGAAGCGGGCGAGAGATAGATTTCGGACTACATATAAGCTATACATAGGTATAGATCGCATTACCTAACCTGTGTACTGCGAATACGGCACGGGCTGCAACGACAGTGGATCATGAGATGAGCGCCTTTGTATGTAGGAAAGGCCCTACTTACCTATGTATGTACTAAGCCTGTGTATACCTACCTACCCATAATGCTGTGGATTCTCTCGCCCTTCGCTCTGCTTCGCCGCGCGATTTCATCTTAGATGGATCAGACGCGCGTGAGATCTTCGGTCCCCAGCTAGACGTGGCAAAGAGGCCGGCCTAGCGCGAGCGAGCGAGCGAGGAACGGGTGGCCGTAGCAAGTAATGTTGAGTGTGACTTATTTCCCGTGTTGTATGTAGTGTATATATGTATTGTATATCCACGGTCTCGAAGGCCGAGTCGACGGAATGTCCCGCCAAAGTCTTGTATACTTCCTCGAGACTTTGCCGTCACAAACCCTCCTCCCCCCTGCCGCGATGCTATATGTATTACCCGAATTCACTTACTCTGCTACCTTAACCGGCGATGAGGCCTTTTTTTTCTTTCTGGTCCCCTGCCTTACCAATTGAGTTATAATAATTAGGAACGATTGGGCTGAGCTATATGTAATAACCAAATATCCTTGACTTTTGCTCTCTTTCTCTCTCTTTTCTCACCCTTCTTCTTCTTTCGGCGAGGGGGGTGTCATGCGGTATGATGGACGTTGCGTGCGTGCTGGGTGTCGGTGTGCCACAGGAAACAACGTCTTTTCTGTTTCGAGCTGGACGCATCGGGGCTTTGTTAGTTTACATACAGGGTCTGCCCTTTTCCCACTCGTCTGGCCCGTCTCCGACGCACGGAAAGAAAATATGCCATGCCATGTCACCTCTGCTTGCTCCCCTCCTCCCCCCCATGTATGTATATAGGGCTGCTACGGTGCCTCTGCCTAGATGGATGGATGGATGGATAGATGGATAGATTATACATGTCATATACATACGCATACCGTACATGCACGCGTGTATTTGCATTACATCGTGTGCACCGCCGTACATGGCCCGGCAGTCATATACCGGTAGCTATATAGTACCCAGCCAGCCATCCATCCATCCATACCTACATACATACATACATACATCAGAGACTACACACTTACGTAGGTAGCAGCGCTTGTGCCTGCCGCGTAACATCGATGGTGCATGCGAAAAGCTTGATCCATCTTGGCTATTTGTTCCCGCAGCGTCGGACCAGTTTGCAATACTACTATGTAGGTAGGTCCGATATGCAACTTGTCCCGGAACGGGGGCTGAAGGTCGAAGGGAAGGGCGCTGGCAACTTTCTTGGGTGGGTGCTACCCTGGGTTGGAAAGATGGCACTGGACTGGACTGGACTGGGCTGCGGCTAGCGATGGCTTTGTTGCTGTTGTTGTTGTCGTTATCGTCGGCGATATGATATTAAACCGCATATCTGATTTGTCAAAGGCGCGGTAGATGAGAGGGAAGAGAGGGAGGGAAGGGAGGGAAGGGAAGGGGATGCGTAGACATGTGATGCGTGGGGTGCGACAACAGATCGCGCTCTGTTTCTTCTTAGAATCCTTCGAAAGCGCCACGGCGAGCGCTCGGCTGGGAGATGCCGATGTTGCGCAAGGAGTCAGTTGGTGGCGGCTAGCCGGGGCTTGTTCTCGGGTTGGTGGGTGGGGAAAAGTATCGGGATATGGTAGGTATGGAGGGATGGATAGATAGAAGTATCTATGGTATGCACATATGTCATATGTCGACGGGGAACGAGGTTATCGTGACCTCCTTGCGTGCTTATCGTCGCACAGACGAGGTGAGCGAGATGGCTCGTGTGAGCGCCATGTGCCCCTGCCCCGTGGTGCCGACTTGACCCGGCGCCCGGTTCATCCCGGCTTAGCGGCGAGTTCCGGGACCTTCCGGGACTTTCGTCTTGAGGCGGCGGCGGAGCGGAGGGGTTGGTATCGGCGGGTATTTGCTTGCGGAAGCGGGCAGACGGTATATCACACATTCGGATAAGTGGCCCCTTTTTTCGGGTCCTAAGTCTTTCACGCCGGATAGAGCCGTCTTGTTGCGACTCCGTTGATTACCTCTGCTACGTCTCCCCGTCACTTTCGGATATCGAGTATTTAGTAATTCTTTGTAGACTCCGATGGGGCTTAAAGACTATAGATGATATAAATAAATAGCCGGCGTTAAGTCTTGCCAATTTTCCCTGGTCTTGTAAGTGTGTGTAAGTTATACTATGATAAATTCATGTAACTAGTTAAAACTAGCTAGGTACATAGCTATCAGAATGTACAATTTTCTATACGCGTATAATGTCAGCTCGGACGTCTATCCTCTGCCCCTTTTCTAGGAACTTGAGACGGCACCAGTTTTCAGGTGTAAGCGATGAAAGTATACAAGGAAGGATATAGTCACAAAAATAGATGCGCGATCGCCTTTTACTATTTAGTCAGATTTATCGAAATCGACGGTACTATGATATTCAAACTCATCGATGAAACATTAGTTAGAATACGAATATTTGGTGGTTCGAAGTCGTCTTTACTAAGAAGTAGCTTTTCATACCCTCTTAATCAAATCATTAACCCCTTAAAAAGGATGTGCCTTAGTGAACTCCCGCGCAAACGGCACTTGACTTATGAGAGTTGGTCCTTGAAGGCTTAACGGATGTTAATAAGTCGTCGAGTTTTAGCAAAAATGTTCTATATGCTAGTAGCCGGATCTAATAGTAAGACAGCAAACGTAAGCTATGTACAGGCAAATAATATGGTATACTACCTGACATGCCACGGCTGCCCACAGATAAAGGTGTAAAATCTCAAAGTTCCTAGCGTTTAACGTAGACAATTCCTCTGAAAATTTATGAGCTAACTAACCCCGGATGGTCTCGAGCGGACCGGGAGTGGATCCGACCCATCTCACGAAGTCCGGCCGGTATACAAATTTTTCTTTCGTTCCCACCACTTTTCGTGCGCGACTTAATGCGTGTTACCGAACTAAAAATTCATCCAATTCCGGTCCCATAGCTCAGTTGGTTAGAGCGTCGTACTAATATCACCAGTATCACCATTGGTTATATCTAGTCAATGCGAAGGCCGGCGGTTCGAGCCCGCCTGGGACCATTCGTTATCTTTTTGGTACTCTGAAGAAGGTTCACTTTCGGTAGAAGGTTTTTTTTTTTCTCCTGTTCAAATCGACATTTGATTATTTTGTGCTGATAATTGTCGTTTGTCAACTTTCACAATATAATAGTCCTTGTCTTCCCGTCTCGCAGAACATACACGCCTTGGCCTAGTCAATGGGAAGCTGTCGCACTGTATGAGGAGCATTTCAAATAAAAGATTAAATCAGTTGTTTACACTAACCGCGGGTCTGTAGCATTCTATCTAACATCACCTAATTTCTTGGGAAGATTAAAGCGGCTTTTAGTAGACGAACAGTGCCGCGTATATTTGGCCAGTCTCATCAACCATCTGGGCGCTTTGACTGCGCGTCTAATCTCAACTGGCCTAGTTTGATAAAAATATGTTTTACTTCTTCCGGGTTCGGAATGATATAAGCTTCCTATGAAATATAGACAGAATTCAGTTTTACTAGAAGCCATTAGAATTATTCTAGTTGTCTATGAGAATTTTAGAAGTAAGTTGGTGTTTATAGATATTGGTGTTTCAATCTTAAAAGTGCCATCCATATTCTACAAGAGTGCCGATTCAGTAAGAGTTCTAACAATGTTAACTATCTAAAAAAGTATTGGACAACTTGTTTCAGACGACCTGTGAGGTCTTAGGAAAGCATTATCAACTAAGGGATGTCGTCACGATTTATAGCCATGGGAACACGCGCAGAATAAGGACAACCCTCTTAGTCTACGAGGGATTGTAATAAACGCCTGAGCCGGCTTGGATAATGTTTGAGCGGTAATAATAAATCTCATCGAATTCGTAACGGAGTTAGTCCTACTTCGGAAATTATGGCAGGACTGGCTCGTCAACTCCGAGGCTACCAAACGATGGCAACTGAAATCCGAAGTTGTCTAAAAAGGTGATGCTAAAAAGTAGGATTTTTCCATTCCAGTATATCTACGTGATATACGGTAGCTATTGCACGTTCACTGAGCTACGCCGGAACTCGGAACCCCTTTATGAAATACTCTGTATCGTTCTCTTGAGGCACACCCTGTTATGATCAAATCTCGGGTTCAACATGGTCTCGCATAGAGATGGTTTGCTTAATAACGATGAATAGGAAATTTGTTAACTAGCTAACTTGTCACATCAACTTCGTACTTATACACAATCCAAACTCCCTCCCACTGGAGTCCCCGCTCCCTTCCTTAACTACCTACCCACCATCCCATCTTCCTCTTCCCACCCTCTTAACCCCTCCGCCAACGTCCCTACCACATTTCTCCCCCATCTCGCCGCCCCTCCAACCCTTCCATCACCAGCATCCTCCTGAAAACTCACCCTCCCACGCCACCAATCCAACCATCTCTCCGCCCGCGCCCCCTCGTCCGCAGCCAGCAACCCGACGCTCACATCGACGACGTCAGGGCGCCAGCGATCGTGCCAGAAGACGGAGGCGCCGCAGCGCGGGCAGAACTCGCGGAAGACGCCCGGCGAGCTTTCGTAGGTGCGGAGGGGAGAGTAGGTTTGCTGGAGGGTGGGGAAGTCGAGGGGGAGGGCGTGGGAGGATATATCTGACGGAGGAGGAGGAGGAGGATGTGTGGATGAGGAGGAAGATGACGAAGAAGCAGCAGGCGGCAAAAAGAAAATATTACTCCGCGGCACGAACGCCCACGCCTGGACCTCGAAACCAGCAGCCAACCGACAAGACCGACAGGCACACGTGCCGGCCATATACCTCGTCAGGTCCGGATTATCCCTCCCTTGCGGGCGCAGCCACCATTTCTCATCGCGGGGGTTATCGATAATCTCGCGCGGCGACGTCGCGGTTGGGACTATAAGATCCGAGAACGGGGACCGCGGGAGCCGGCTCGAGGCGTCCGGACGCGTGATATAGAAGCGGACCGTCTTGCAGCGGCAGTGCGCTTCGAGTATTATATCCTTGCTGTCGCCGCCTCCGCTCTGGTTTATTACCTGGCTCCTCTTTTTAGATGGCTCGGTCCCCCCAGCGAGCCTGATAAAAGGGGAGAGGCCGCCGTCTTTGGTGCTGTCGGTATTGACATGTCGGGCATATCTCAGGAGGAGCGACTCTTCCTCCCCGCCGTCTCCCTCTACCGATTTATCATCGTCGACGACGCTGACCTGCGCGATGATGGTGCCGGTGGCTACCTCCCAAGACTTACCGATTTCCTCGTCGCCAACGGTAGAGTAATATCGGAATACGTGGCAGCCGCAGGTGCTACAGAAATAACGCTGGGAAGCAGTGGTAGAGGGCTGCGCAGACTCGTCCGGATATGCGACGAGGCCGTTTAGAGACGGCGGCACCCGGATAGGCGCATACGATACGCACAGGAGACCGGAACTATGGCGGCAGTCGTAGCAGTGGCATAGGTCAACACCCCAAGGGCCGGATGTCGATTCATTGGTGCGCGATAATACTACCGTCTGCTTTGCAGCACTGCAGAGGCAAGAGATTACGACTTTCGACATTACGCGAGATCGAGAGTAAAGAGCTGACTTTGTATATATTAATGTTGACTTGACCGAGGGAAGTCTGAAGCCAAACTATTAAGTCAACCCACGTATCTGTGGGCGCTCCCCCGCACCTTTATGAACCTGATGAGCGATAGTCGGAGCTTGCCTCACGTATATTTAAATGTCTAGACGGAACCTGTTGCGATTGGAAACATCAAATTGCTCATCTATACATAAGTATCGCGGAATTACGGCCCGTCAAAGCAAGGTGTAGTAGTTGGATGTTGGAGAGATACGATATCCCACTCGTTATGGACGATGACGCTCGTCCTGATACTACGGAGAGAATAAGAATACGACAGTCATTTAATAGACGACACATAGGGACGTATCAAAATCTTCAGATTAAAGGAAATAGGCTGCGGTCAGCAGGTATAACCGACATGGTTCTAGTTTGTCTTCGCAAGACAATCACTCCAATATCCTCGTCTCTTTTTGTTTGCATTCCGCATTCCCCAAAGTTTTCCCCTTCCGTGATCTTCATTAGTATGGTGATATACACGAGTCCAGCGGACAACACCGTTTGCCCGGGTAAACTCTTTACATTCGGAATGAACCAACATCAATGGAGATTTTCTTCGCCATGACTTTGTCACACAATGAGACGTGAGGCCAAATTAGGAGCTAGAACGGTGAACCGAGGCGTTCAAACGGTTGCGTCGTTACCCTCGCTAGCTGGCTTAGGGATAGACCTCTCAGCTTCCTTCTCACCATCCTTGCTTGACGAAGCCTCCTGAGGGATAGGGTCATCTCTCGCTAGGTTCTTAGTCTCCTGGTTTGCACCCTCAACATCAGGATGCGGTGGTGCGACGCCCGCAGCGGCGAGCTCTTCTAGCGGAGCTTCGACTTCGTTGCCGTTGGCGTCGACGACGCGCGTTCTCGTTTCGTACTTGGTCTTGAATTCGACTTTGCCTTCGAGCGCCTTCACTTGCTCTTCGTTGAGGATGTTGCCGTCTTGGTCCCGGTATTCGACTCGCTCTTCGCGGTTGATCACTTTTTGACCCTGGGGTTCGAACTTGGGTGCCCCCGAGATACCTACCTTTGGGGCATCTTGGTTGTTATCGGCTGCGGGCTGGACTGGCACCTGGTTTTTGTTGTCTACAGCGGGTTGAGAGGTCTGGGCGATTGGGGCTGCAAGTCCTGAGTATGCTTCGTACTACACAAGAGATATGCGCATTAGTCTACCGCCTAATTGACAATTTGTAAATCCTGACATCTGCACTTTATATACGTATCCAAAATCCAAATAGGAACAACGCAAACATCTAACTTCAAACTCGCTCTCTTGACGGCATGCCATGGGGAGGGATACTTACGCTTTCCAAGAAAGTATTGCAATCCCAATCCCAAGTGCTGAACAGCTTGACACGATTGCATTCCGCCTTTGTCCAGGCATTTCCGTATGCGAGGGGCGAATATAAGGCAAAGACGACCGCGGAGATAGCCAATAGCCCAACTACACTGGCCTTGTTGATGATAGAGTTTCCCCTGACGCTTGCAAATCGAGCCGTAGTGAAATCGATAAACTGGGAAAATGCTAGGACGGCGAAGACTAGCGCGGGGAAATAGTGGTGAAGGAAGAGCTGGCGTCCCATCAAGAAAAAGGGGAAGTAGTGGAAAGCCCATCCGAGCACCCAAGTTCCGATCTCGTAATCGAATCGCTTGAAAGTGGCGTTCTCGTAGTCGTTGCAGCTGCGCTGCCATCGAAGGATCGCAATACCCTTGAAGAGCACGTAAATAACCACAGCAAGGGTTGAGGTGTACCATACGATGGGGTTACCCATTAGGTAGATCTGGCGGTGGTCTTTACCCCAGAAGTTGATACCACGGCGGAGGATCGGCCAAGACTCAGGACGGGAGTCCCAGGCATGAGACTCAACCAGACCTGCGTTAGTTTTCCACATAACCTTCTGCAATTCCCAGAATTTGCCGAGGAACCCGGGGTTAACGTAGTTGACCTTCTCGGCATCGCTGGCTAGTTGTGGGTGCGCATTGGACTCAATGTACCATAAGCTGTTGGGAAGAGTACCACCTTTGGCACAAGTAACCTCCTGCTGTTCAGATGCCCAATCCGGCAACTTCACCTTGTGAGAGAACAGGACGCAGCCAGTCATAATGTGGACGAGTCTAAACTTGGTCTGAATGGTTCGGAGCCGCTCCTTGGCAATGGGCCCGAGAGACTGCTTCTTGACAATTTCGACACGGAATAGGTCGTTAGCGTCACCAGCAAATCCTTCATATCCATACGCAGACACTTCATTTTGCCAATCAGCTTCGCTCACGGGCGGTCTAACGTCGTGAGAGTGAAGGCGACGATGAGTAGCCAAATGATATAGTCGGATCACATCGCCATTCTTGATGTAGTTCTCGGTTATGTTCTTCACGTTGTCCCAGGCGCCAGTTCCGTTGATAGGCTCACCGTTAATATCTAAAGGCTGAGTCTGGTTCTCGAGCAAGAATATATTGTTTTCGTCCTTGTGGGGATAAAGGGTGATCTGCTGTTGCTGACTGCCCGTAGGGTACATTAGGGGATGCGAATGAAGATATCCTCCCTGAGTGTTGACATGTCGGATGGAGACACGGCTGCCGAAGGCAACATCAACCGGTACATCTTGCATGCCCTTGTTGTTCAACGTAGCCTGGAATTCAGAGCTCATGAATCCATCTCCGTCGCCAGGATTCGAGAGGCAAATAAAGTGGATAGCGAATATACCCATGTAGATGGTAATGGGAATAATGATCAAGCAGAAAGCACGGGCCAAAAAGTGCTTCGCAAAGATGCGAAGGGTGACAGTCTTGGTGTCACCAAGTAGCACCCACAATTGTATAAGAGTCAAGGTTCCAACCCAGGCAATTGTGAAGAGGCCGACCCATTTGATACTGAGGGTGATTCCCATTCCTACGCCGGTCATGAAGAGCCAGAACCACCAACCCGCATCGAACGCCTTTGAAGGACCGAGTTCATGTTGGTTGGTGAAGGATGTGAAGGCGAGCGCAGTGAATGCAGTAGCGGCGACCAGGGGGGAATCGAGAAGAATTAGACGGGCTTGGGTGAGGAGACCATTCTCTGCGTTGCATGTAAGCGCAAGGTTAAGGTCAAGTGGCTAGTGGAAGGGGAGCTTACCAAAGATGAGAAGAGCAGCGCCGAGGGCGGCCGTAGCCGTACGACAACCAGCAGCCTTCAGAGTCAAAAAGATAGTCGGGATCAAGGCAATACCGCAGATGGCAGGGTATAATCGCATAGCCACGTATGGGACACCCGGCTCTAGATAGTCCTTGCCAATATCCTTGAAGTCGAAGTCACCTTTAAAACCAGCAAGCCATCCGAAAAGTGTAATGAGTAGCTTGGCTAACGGCGGATGGACATCCATAAAGAATTTACCCTTAATATACTTGGTCGCAAATCCACCGAAGCTATAAAGAACATCCGGTGTTAGTATTGGTTGACCTTCGTGGCTATATCTTAGTAGGGAACTTACTGTACTTCGTCGAAGACGACACTCGAGGGTTGATAGATGCGGAATAGTCGCACAACGGCACCAAGGATGGTCAAGACTAGCATAACCTGGTAGTCGGAAAAGGGTAGTAGGAATACATCATTATCCTCGACACCCTCCGAAGTGTAGTCATCGTGCTTGACTTGATCTTTGGGTTTCGGAGGTGTGTAGGGACCGCCTTTCGTAGCGGGCGGCTTGGCCGAACTAGACCTCGCCATATTGAATCGGGAATCGGGATGCGGGATGCAGCTGCAATAGAACTCGACGGGGATGAATTGGGACAAAATGGGAAGAAAGGAGGCGCTTTGTGGCCTTTTCCTTGGAATTACTCGCGTCGAAATTGCTTGCTCGTGTAACAAAAGCTTTTTGCGTTACGCGGCAAAAAAAGTATCACGCCGAAGAAGTGAATTCAGGTCGCTTAACGAAAGTCAAGAAGTGGAACCAACCATTATAAAACAATAGGATAATGAAAGTCCCATTCAAAGAGGTGGGATAATTAAAAGAATCGAGATAATTCCCCCCCTTTTAGTCGCAAAGTTGATCGCAGTTTGCAGTGCGCAGTGCGGCGGGATGGGTTGTGGGAAAGGCTGAAGGGGGTTTAAAGGGGTGGTGTGAATCACGGCGTCAGAATTTATTTTGAGCTTTCGAGCAATCTTCAAATTCATTTACATGGTTTAATTCGAGTAGTACGTAGGCTTGATGCTACAGTGGCCTCATCTGGATTGGCAGATTGCCCCCAGGGGCTGATAGGGTACGTAGTGCTGGCAGGTAGCTGGCTGCTCTTTCCAGGGTCTAAAAAAAGATTTAGCTGCCAGTCTGTAACCTTTACCACCCACTACTATGTACCTAGGTACCTATGTACGTATGAGCCTAAGGGTCTAGAACGAATTGAAATTCGAAGTGCCCCCGCAATTCCGTAATTCATGATCACAGGTAAATACAGTACATGTACAGGTGTCTATCAATGTTATCAGAGGTATATATATCCCATTATGAACCTAAATAGTCAAGATGATATGTACAAGCCTTAGACACGTAATGCAGATTCCCTAATCTGATTTAGTAAATGAATCATATAGGTATTTTATAATGTTTTTATTATGAGAAATTGCAGCTTTGTATTAGTTTGTTTATCAGGTTACCGTTATGTTATCGTTATGTTATCGGAAAGTCAAAAGCTAACGGTACGAGAGTTACAGTTTTGACTCTGAGGTACGGTTTGGCCAGTTTGATTGGCTAAATTTACGGATTATACGTTAATCCGATTACGGTACATGGGTAAACCGACCTTCACGATATTTTGTTAGGTTAGAGCTTCTTTGCTGCGACATCATCGCGCAATTAGCCAATCCTTATTTCCTGCAGCCTCCACAATCGCGTTCACGTCTACACATTTTGAGGGAGGCTCTCTGAAACTGCCATCAACATGGCTGCCGATACTAATGGTGATGCAGCTGCAGTTTTAGATGACATCAAACCTCCTCAGGGTGTTGTCCTACCACCCAAGGAATTCAGAAGTAAGTCAAAAGCATTATCCTTCGAAATCGAAATCAGAAGTCGCGCTGGGCTAACCTATCTATAGCTATCCTTGAGAAGACAGCCGGCTTCGTTGCCCGAAATGGCATCGCATTTGAAGATCGCGTCCGAGAAAAAGAAAAGAACAATCCTAAATTCAGCTTCCTTAGCAATGCCGACCCATATAACCCATACTATCTATGGAGGTTAAGCGAAATCAAAGAGGGCCGCGGCACCGCCGTAGCTGCGGGCAGAGCAGGCGAAGCTGCCGCTGTTGTCGAAAAGAAGCCTGAAGGCCCTCCCAAACCTCCAGACTTCCAGTTTTCCGCGCGTATGCCCAATATCAGCGCCCAGGATCTCGAGGTTGTGAAACTGACTGCGCTCTTTGTTGCAAAGAATGGCAGGCAGTTCATGACTGCCCTCTCGCAAAGAGAGGCCGGTAACTACCAATTCGACTTTCTAAGACCGAACCACAGTCTTCACAATTTCTTCCAGCACCTCATCGATCAATACTCGATGCTTCTGCGAGCCGGCGGTATCGATGGCGAAGGGGGGAAGGTTCAGCAAGAGAGGATTGCTGAGCTACAGCGCAATATTGATGATAAATATCGTATCCTGAGTCGCGCGAGACAAAGGGCTGAATGGTTAAAACACCAAGAGGACGAGAAGCAGAAGAAGGAGGAGGAAGAAGAAAAGGAACGACTATCTTACGCCCAGATTGACTGGCATGACTTCGTTGTTGTCGAGACCGTAGTCTTTACCGAAGCTGATGACCAAGCAAACCTACCCCCACCGACTTCCCTCTCCGAACTGCAATATGCTTCCCTTGAACAGAAGGCTAGGGTCTCCGTCAGTGCTAACCTACGTATTGAGGAAGCGATGCCTACTGACGAGGACAACGCTTATGGCGGGTACGCAGCACCACCCAATTACAATCTTCCTCATCATCCCGTGCAACAAGGACATCAGCTGCCAGGAGCTCAACCCTCGGCTCAAGGTGCGTATCAGATGGCCCCGCCGCCGCGCCCCGGTGGCGCTCAAGAGGACGAGGAAGCACAGCGGATACGGGAGAGAGAGGAAGCCCGTTTACGTATGCAACATGCTCAGGCCGAGGCTAAGGGCGGCGCCGCTCCGATGAAGATCAAGGAAAATTATGTTCCTCGCGCAGCCGCGCGAGCGGCTAACCGACAAGGAACTCAGATGGCCCTCTGCCCAAATTGTCATCAGCAAATCCCGATGAACGAGCTAGAAGCGCATATGAGGATCGAGCTGCTAGACCCACAATGGAAGGAGCAGAAGGCCAAAGCCGAATCGCGATATGCGACGACGAATCTGTCACATTCTGATGTTGCTAATAACTTGAAGCGATTCGCAAGCCAACGAGGAGACTTGTTTGACGGTGTTACCGGACAGCCCATATCTGAAGAAGAGATGGCGAGAAGAAAGCGAGCAGCGCTGAATAGCTTTGACGGCAATCCGGATGGCCGGAGCCAGGCTCATATGAATCATATGCAGAACGTGAATGTCGACGAACAGATTGCCCGGATCCACCAGAGGTTTGCCAAGGACAATCAACAAGGCCATTAATGTCTAACCTAATGACCGGTGCGTCTTAATACCTGGTTATGTGCTGATAGAGGAAGCGAGTTATGCCCAGAGAGTCGAGTATGGGATTTTGAGGATAGACGAAACGTAACCTCTACCCTTAACCTCACCTCAAAAAACCTCGAGCTCCTTTACGATCACGCCGCAAATCCGTGGAGGGAAATCGGGGGAAGCAGGACCAATCACTGGAAGGCTAAACAGGTAAACAATACCCAAAAATAATAGTTGGTCTATATTCAAATTGCTCATATTTTAATACAGCGCTGTGCTCCCTGATCGTGTTGCTCCCGAAATCGTCGAAGTATCCCGTGCTATCGGCTGGGCCGGACGGAGGCCCCGTATAAAACTAACTCACGAAATAGTCTGCATAGGACTGTATGGTAAACTGAGGTGATTGTAGAACTCGTACTTAAAAAGTCTCGCTTAATAAGGCTCTAAGCGTTATATACCTACCTGTATAGCTGTATTCTACATTGTAAACTGGTAGTAGGGCGTCCCTGGGATAAAGGAGGTTTGGGTAGCAGCATAGCTCGGGTTGTTTAACATGATGCATTAATGAATCGCAAGCTAAACCTGTCTACAAATAGCGACCGATCGATTCATTACATATTCATATAATAGTTAGTTCTTTTTGCTAGATATATTAAGTTTGTATCTATTTTACGCCGCACCCTGATCATCATCCTCGTCATCGGAGATTATACTCTCCACAATCAGGTTTCCCGACCTGCCAATCGTATCCGCCAGCGTAGCAGTAGCATCCGGCTCGTAGACGACTCGGGGCAGGGGGGACGCAATCCGGAACTTGTACTCGTGCTCGTAGCCCTCCGGCTCCTCCACATCGTCGTCGAGCTCCTCTCCTCCCTTGAGCAGATCGTAGCACTCCACAAAAGCATACAGTTCCTCCACCGTAGTCGTGCCCGCGAACCGTCGCACGATCCGCCCGTCCGCTTCGTCGGGCATCTTGAGAGCGAGCCGCACGACGTCTTCTTTGGCGGAAGCTTCGGGCTCGGGGGCGACGGTGCAGGCGCGCCAGCGCCGCCACTGTTGGCGCTGGGCGGCGCGGCGCTCGGCGGCTTTGGCTTCTTCTCTGGCGCGCTGCTCGGCCTCGGCGGCGGCGGCTTCGGCTTCCCTGCGCTGGCGGGCGCGCTCGCGATCGCGGGCTAGGGAGCGCTCGTACGCCGAGTCCTGCTCTGTGCGGAGGGTGCGCGCGACTTCGTGGGCGGTGCGCTCGGCGCGGGCGCCTGCTAGATCGGGGGCGTACTTGTTGATTGCGGTTTGGATCTCGGCGAGGTAGGTTGCGGGGGGTATGGGGCCGGCTAGTCGCTTGACGATGCTCATGCGGGTGCTGCCCTCTTTAGGGGTCAGGCACACTAGGCATGAGGAGGGAAACTTGGTGCAGTTGTACTCGGCGGCGACCTGGTATGCCTCGGAGTCGAGGACGTTGCCGCCCCATAGGACGATGTTATTGCTAGGCTCGTTGACGAAGCTGATGACGTCGGGCGAGAGTAGAGTCTCCCGGGTGAAAGATTCTGTGTCGTCGTGTTCGGGCGACATGAGCACTATCAGGAGGAACTTGAGCTCCTTCTTAGCTAGGTCGAGAGCTTGCGCGAAGCCGCCCTCGAAGAAGGGCAGGCTGTCGTTACCGTACTCCTCTTCGAATTCCCGCTTGAACCGGGCGGCGGTGTCGCGCGGCATCAGCATACGCCGACCCATGGTGCCCTTCCACCCGCTCGTCATGCTCGTAGTTATCATACGGGGCCGTATAGATGCGGGGAGAAAGGCGAATATGTACATAAATGTGCGGAAGAGCGTCGAGACGGCTTTGTATCCGAAGTTGAAGGGAGCGAATAGGACAGACAGGATGAAAGGCAGGCGGGTGGTCGTCTGAGGTTGAGGCACGATCCTTGGCGCGGGGTCTGGTCTGGCTCGGGGTACTGAGCGTCCGGCGGGCCGCGCGGATGCTGCGAAGCTTTCTTGTAGATTTTCATGTCTCGCTGCTTGTCGGGGAATATCGTTCTGAGCGGCCATAGCTTCGGCTACGGGATCGGGGCCTTCGCCATCGAAGAACTTGGCTATTGCTATTTGCACGTTCCATTGAGACCTCTCTAACAACGGCACCGCGTCCTTAACGTCTTGTGCTGTGAGCTGGGTGTACTGCTCGAGGGCCGACTGCTGCTCCGGAGAGAGCTGGCCTATATCGATATCGCCGTTGGTTGCCATGGTCTCGATACGTACGACTGAGGCGGAGCGTAGGATAAGGTTTGCGTGGTTTTATATCAGGGCCCCATGCGTCGTATAGATTAGCAATTCCTCGTAAGCCGGGATTGTTTTAGAGTTAGGAGTTGAAATAGATCCGAGGCCTCGAGATGCTATGTAGCTTTCTTTTTGTTCTTTATCACTAACTAATCAACTTTCAACATGCTACCACCTGCGACAGTTTATTATTCGATCAGTTGAATATGACTTTGAGAACTTAAAAAGGAACCGTGCTTAGGTCGATGCTTAACAAAGTTGGATATGTAAGTTGGCTAGAGGTGACGATAAATGTAGACTGGGGATCGTTAGGTTTGGTGGCCTTCCGGGCTGATAAGTTAGGTAAGTTACCTAATAACTAAGTCCGTACATAGTGCGCAGGTAAGTTTGAATACGTATATATTACTCTGAAGGGACTAGCGTTAAGTAGAAAGTTTAATATTTAAGCCCGTACTGGCTTAGTCTTCGTCATTAATAGTATAGTACTGTGCATGAAAGCTTATATTCTTGTTTAGTCCCTTTACACAGTAACTAGTGTATTGTCAGATTGTCCGCGCATGGACGTACAATGAATTATTTCACTGGTCACACACAGTCTGAAAGTCTAAGCTCAAGGCTGAGAGAGGACATCTTGGCATCGGAGGTCAGGGACCAATTAACTTTGCTTCCCTCTCTTAGTAATCTAGGACCGTCATCCCACCCACTACAACTTCACTACATATAACTTCTACTGACGTTCTTAAACACGCCTGCATCGTATCTTTGTGCCCTTATCGTCAGCCTCACACTCGCCTCTTGACTCACCTCCTAAACCTTCCAATTGATACTCTCAATTGATACCCCGGAATTCTAGTCTCCACTCTTTTGTCCTTGCTGTGCGTACTATTTTGATTTATGGGCGAGAGCTCGCCCATTCTTGCCAGAAAAATGGGAGCGCTTTGAGGTGTCTAAGTACGTGCACTCGAACTTTCTTCTACTCTTACTTTCTCTTACCCTGACTCATACTTACTCATGTTAATCATCCGAGCTCTCACACTAACAAACTCTTGATATATATATATAGGGGTTGTATCGACAGGGGCAGCGTATACTTTCCTCCTGACCCTACGTAGCGACTACTCCATGCCGAAAATACGAGAATCTGCAACTTCTACCCATTACCATGGCGAATACGCGGTTCGGCACTGCCGATAGAGGGAGGCAGATGGCCTCCCCGAGACCTAAAACACGCGGTACGTTTTCAATCTAAGAGGGCTGACGGGCGCGTCGTAGGCGTGCCTGCTAGCTAACTTACTCATCTCAACATCACTCCTGATTTTGTTGACTTATACCCGCTTAGACAGCAAGGACACTGTCTGTCGAAACGTATTGATATATGGTCATTGCCGTTATGAAGATCAGGGATGTGCCTTCAACCATGATAAAGGCTCCTCTAATTCAATGGACAAGTAAGTAGTGACGCTCTTCATTTGTTTTATACACCGTTTCAATCCCAATGTCCTGGCTGGCTTCCTCTTTGATTCCGTTCGAGATTTCTACAACGAAGCAAGAGCAGTTCTGTATAGAATCAAGGAGACTTCAAACTAGGGCACGTAGAAATATTAGCCAATAAAAATAGCCGCTCGACGGTCGAGGCAATCGACATGGTAGGGTGGAATTATCTGATCACTATTCGATATCTGCCGACCTCTACTAGAGTTTTAATCTTCTCGACTATCTTAATTGCTATTAAACATAGGCAAAGAGGAAGGTGTATCTGGGCGAGTCGTTTGATAAAACAACGGCCCATACAATTCGAGATAAGAATGGTCCCGGGTTGGTGGAAAAGCCATGGGCGAATTATTTCGGAGCCAACGGCCGGCTATTCTCAACCATTATTTGAGCCCGCATCAAGACCGCTGTCTCCCGCGACACTAACGTCATATTCGTCATATTGGGCTCAGCGATATTTTGGAAGCAGTAAATCCTTTACGATAAACCCTTTAGTTACTAGCCGGTCAGACTCCGAACCTCGCCTTTCGCCGCGTCCAGGTACCCGTATTACCGTGGTTTCTGATTGCTCTAATCAGCATAAAGGATTCAACATGAGCCCTACTAACAGAAGCTCCTCAGCTCCTCCGCGTTGGCCCTCGCCTTGGACCTATATTCCACAATTTAGTGATATGGCTGATTCAGGACATCCAGCCAGCTTTCACAATTCCAACACAACATATTCCACCAATCTCGCTAACCCATTGTCTAGTGGTTCTAAGAAATCTCTGAACGTCGAATCCCCATCATTTACTCCTACTCAACTTGGAGGCAAGAAGTCTAACTTCTCGACGAATGCTACACCTTTTACACCCCGGGGTGCCTCTACATGTGAGGACGCCTCTTTTCCTAACGCCCTATTGTATGTAAACTTACCTACGTGTTCAACAGCTGCAACTTCGACTTTACAACAAGATACGGGTGCTTCTGTGTATAAATCGGCACCGTTTCCGGATTTTACCCCCCAAAACTATGATCTAAATACCGCGGTAAGTTTAAGAAATGCGGGCTTTAGATTAAGAAGTTAACGAAAATCAGACTGCAAGCAACGGTTCGGCGGATGGCGGACCCCTAGGCTATGATCCTTTTACCATGTCCAGTGTAAATCAGGCGCTCCCTTCAACACCGTATAATCCATACGCCGATGATCACAACGCCTTGGCCGGAGCAGGCGCACCATATTATACAGCTCAAAATTCTTATGCGGCCCCGTCTCAACCTGTAAGACCCCAATTTTTTAATATGTCTATCTCGGTCCACTATCTGACAGACTATAGCTTCAATATCATCTCTACTACCCTATCACTACGGGGAGAGAGAGTATGCAGCCTTACCAGCGACAGGTATATGATTTGTTCCTTCCAGAATCTCTCAGAGAAGACCTTCAGAAAAAGTCTGAAGCTACTAGACAAGTCCTTCCGAGTCAACCTGGAGTACAGCTGCCCTCTCTTCAACATTACCATTCTCTTGTTCCTTTAGATACCAAAATTCGAAGCGCAGCTAGTACTTTTGGTCTTCCGAGTTGGGTGTTCAAAGCAACCTCTCGTAAGAATGGGAACACTTTCTGCTTGAGACGAATCGAAGGTTTGTCCCCAAATTGATTTAAGCGAAAGTCAAACTAAATAGGCGTTAGGATTTCGCCTCACCAATGAGGAAGCTATTAAAGCCGTGAATTCGTGGAAGAAGATTATCCATCCCAATATAGTCACTACGATTGAAGCATTCACTACAAGAGACTTCAATGATAGTTCCCTCGTATTCGTTCACAGTTATCATCCTCTCTCAAAGACGCTAGCGGAGCATTATTTTCCTACCAACCGCTTCGGGCGCCCTGCAACCGTATCAGAGAGGGTATTATGGAGCTATCTTGTCCAGCTAGCCAGCGCTCTGAAGGCGATCCACAAGGCTAAACTTGCAGCGCGGTGCATCGACATCAACAAAGTAATTTTGACGGATAAAAATCGCATTAGGCTTGGTGCATGCTCGATTCTGGACGTTCTGCATTTTGAAGTACCTCGTCGACTTGAGGAACTACAGCAGGAGGATTTCTTTAGCCTGGGACGACTCATCCTGAGCATTGCAACGAACACCCCACCACGAAATCTTGGTGACCTACGCCTACCCCTTGAGCAGCTAGGTAGAGCGTATTCCCCGGAATTAAAAGAGAGGATATCTTGGCTACTTAGCCCACCACAAAACGTACCGACAAAGACCGCGGAGCATCTGGTATACGACCTCGCTCAACATATGGATGATACCCTGGTGGCATCATTTAATACCCAGGATGAGGTTACCACTCACTTAGGTAGAGAACTCGAGAATGGCCGATTGGTGCGATTAATGGCGAAGTTGGGCTCTATTAACGAACGACCAGAGTTTGACAATGACCCTAACTGGGCTGAGACATCGGAACGTTATACTTTGAAGCTCTTCCGAGACTATGTCTTCCATCAAGTTGACGCTCAAGGAAATCCGGTCGTTGATCTAGGCCACATCGTTAGCTGTTTAAATAAGCTAGACGCCGGTATCGATGAAAGAATTTATCTCACTAGTAGAGACCACCAATCAACATTCGTCGTCTCATATAAAGAGTTGAAGAAGCAGGCCCAGAGTGCATTTAGCGACTTGCTTAAGGGACCTACTAAGCCGCAGGCCAACCGCTACTAGAAAGAGCGCGGCTCCGACCACCCAAGCGCTCAAGATCAGCAAATTGATCTCTCACGGAAGTCGGGGAGAAGGAAACGATTCACATTCCGGTGAAGTTGGCAAATCAAACGAGCACCATAAGACGAGAAAAGTCGGAGGAGCTCGGGGGATAGGATTATATTCCGAATTTGAAAGAAACAGGCACTATGAATGGTTCTGTGATGAGGATATTGAGAACAATACACGATGGGATAGGATATTCAAAGTGGAATTCATCCGAAAGTCATAGGAACTCGCGACGACACATATAACATCCAAGGAAGCGAAACCTCGTCTTTCAAATTCAGAACACGAAATTACAACCATAGATTCATCGACAGATCTAGACACTCTTCCACGCGAAGGCCGTGGGCCACGACTTGAATCCTTTTCTTTGCGGCCGTTAATATGGAGTCGGTCCGAATCGAGAAAGCCCCCGTGCCATATTGGACTATATTTTCGTCAGTCAGTTGAATACCGACGATACATAACAAGAGATGCACCATAGCGCTCCTCTTTCAGGTGTTAACCTCGCTATTTGGTTTGTTGCTGTTTCCCGCGGCCATAGACGGGGTCGGCTAGGCTGGCTACGAAGGAAGGGCATACAGCATTGCGATTTGTTTTCTCAGCAAAGTTTCGGATCAAGATGCGGATTTGAAAGAAAGAAGCATTGCGTGAAGGAAACCTCTATGATCATAAACATAACTATCTCCCAGAGTATAAAGTAGAATATAAGCAAAATTTCTTACTGTTCAGGGATTTGTTCCTTGAAAGAGGGGAATGGTCTTGACTGATTGTGGTGCTGTGCTGTGATGTGATTGTTAGATGCGCAGGTCAGTTTTACGTGTATTAGGTACTTATTCGATATTAGAGATTGAGTTCTGCTAGATGATACGACAAGAGCACTTGCGCAACTAATGTAATAAGATTATTCTTCCAATATGCCTGCCTGCCTCATCTTAGTATTGGTAGAAATCAGGTATGCTCCCGACTCATAGTAGGAAACAAAAGGAGATGAAGTGCTTTAAATAAGAATTGCGCAAAACCTACCTAGTTTTATCGAGATAGCCGGGCCCATCAATTAAGTCTGTAATCGAGTGATATAAGATGAGAGTGAGGACCCCAATGAGAAAGTGATAGCCTAGTGCTCACGCATATTAGGAGGTAAGCGTTGTGAGGGGGGGCATGATTTCACTAATCCGTGATGTGATGTAAGCACGTAATATTAACTGAGTAAATAAATGTCTTGGTTTTTATATATAAGCAGATGAGGGCGTGAGAGGGGATATAGACGGCTGTCTCATGGTGTAGTTGAGGTGTGTATAGTCGTATATTCAGCACTAAGATGTAGCGCAAGAGAGCACCGATAGTATGATAATATATTCTACTATACTCACGTTAGAGATAGATACTTATACGTAGAATAAATATAAGAGGTATGTATGTTCTTTGTCATACGCGCGCTAACTAATCTATGGTCTAGCCATGACCTTCTTTACTTACATCTCATCTCTGCCAAGCATATCGTACTGCTTACTCACTATTTCAGATTTTCATTTCCACATCATAACCGTGTTTGATTTAATTTGATTTGAGATTCATGCCATTCATACGGCTGAAAATCTCAGGTGTCTCTTCCGTGCTAAACTCCTAGAGGGGACATTTAGAAGTCCCACCAGTTCTCATTAACTACCCCAGCTTCTTACTCGCTAGGTAAGTAACAAGTCTTTGGGGTTCTAGTCTTCTGTTTGTTGCCCGAAGGGATTCTCAATCTCCTCGCTTCCGTCTACTGGGCTGATGACTACTAGTAGAGTACCTCGGGCAACTACTAGGCCGAGTGATCGAGTCGCCTCCTTGCCTTCGTCATCTACATAGACGTATGTTAGTTTTCCGCCCGCGCGTGATATAGGAGGGAAGCTTCGGCTTGGGTCATTGAAGAAGCCTTGACGGCCAACTTACCTCGCATAACCTCTTGTACATCGTCGAGGACCAAGTTCATAAGCGCATCATAACCCTTGAGTGTGCCGGTGACTACATATAGTTAGGGTTATATAATCCAACTAGAAGGGGACGGGATGGTCGAGGACAGACCTTCTCGGCCACCGTTAAATTTGACGGTGATCCTCTTGTCTACGTATTTGCTTAGGTCGAGGATGTTCTCTTTCTTTGGGCGTTCCCGTTCCTGCGGTGCACCGCTGCTAGCGCCCGAGTCGGCTCCGTGTCCACCTCGCCCTCCGCCTCGCCCGCCCCGCGCTCCGCGGGGATGTCCGCCGCCTCCTCGGCCACCGCGATAGTGACCACGGTCGGCCATTATGTAACCTGGATGTGGATGTGGGTGTGGTTGTGGTTTGAGGCGGTAAAATGCGCACTGTTCCTACACTAGGAATTGCCCAGCCGAGCTGGAATGCAGAGGAGGGCACGCTTTTCGGAACAACCGAAAAAGATGCGGTGAAGGAGACTAGGTTCTCGCGAAGACCAGTTTCGGAAGTTGGACGGATGCAGTGATAGGGGGTCGCGGTGGTCTGGACCGTTCGGTGACGAATCGGTGTTGCAGGCTACTATGAATACGGTTGCAATGAGAAGTGAAGTTATCACCGGGTGGTGCGAACCTTGTAATAATTCGGTCCGGGTTTCTGCGCCTTTAGTCTGAGCTTTTATGTGTCAGCTATGGAATAGGTGCATTCGGGATACGCAGCCACAGGTTCGAGTCTCTAATCACGTTAATGCGTAGAATGTACTAGGTGGAGGTCGTGACCAGGTGATATCAATTGCTTATATCCTTCTTCCGCAGTTTGCAGTTTGCAGGTTGCCGTCGATCATGGAATACGGGGAAGTCGATTGCTTTTTTTAAATCCCCTCTGTGGCTTTGAGCTTCATAGAAGCAAATTAGTGGAACCCCCGCGATAAGGCTATTCTCCAATTGACCCAAGGCTGGAGTGGAGTGCCCCTCAAAAAGACGAAGGAGGGGCAAAACGCGAATAATGGTACTTTGGGGGGTTTTTTTTTTCTTTTCGTTTCGTTTTGTTTTGTTTTAGACCTCTAAAATTTGGCTTGTTCTGGAACGCTTCCGTCTCTGGTGTGTCGTGTCCAGGGGTACCGCGGGGTGCTGAGTGGCTTGTCAGCTTGTTTCAATATGGCTTTTGGAGGGGCATTTTAGAGTATCTTACTATGTACATAAACGGGACCTCGACGAGGGACTACTATGCATCTATGCAGCTATGTACATAGCGGCCTGTATGCAGCATCTGAGTAGCGTCCTGCAAATGTAGGGATCTCAGCTCGGCAGCACCTCTATCTATTCTAGCGGCTCTCGGGGATGTAAGCTGCAGAGTATATCACATTCTCTCCGCGCTTCTGAAGCTGTAAATATACATTACTTCGTATAATACCGTATCATGAGCAGCTAAATACGGATGTGGAGAGTATAGTCCATGTTGAAAGAAGAAGAACCCCCCCCGCCCCCTCCCAAGTAGAAAGAGAAGTTCAAAAGCATGTAACTAAGGTGAATAAAAAGTGCATACGAAAGTTGTCGACTCGCGCTCTTCACTACCTCAAGGGAACAGGCCTTGAGCTGAGAAAGCCCTAGACCGTATTCTTCAAATCGCATCCATACCATTCGAAATTTTTGCTTACATAGTATGTAGTCTAACGCACCTTAGATCCATCACCATAAGTGGGTTTCAACACCAAACTCATGTACCTAGCTCGTCGATCTTTTCCCTCTTCTGTGCGGCGACAAGGAAGTCTTTAAAAAGAGCGGAATTACAGCGTCGATGATCCTCTCCTATATACGGCTAGGGTTACCCGAGCTGCGAAGGGGTCCCGAGGCGAGTCCGGGAAGGCGATGAGAAGCGAGCGACAAAAGGGAACGGAATATGGAGAGTTTTCGGTCTATATTCCGTCAAGCTCATGTAAACAGCCGAGATGTCGCTTAACTTTAACTTTTTAATCGAGTATCATTCTGTTGATGTCTACCCGCGTATTATCCTATAAGCATACAACCTACCCCATTGGAATTTAAAGAGAAAAGAGAAAAGTTCAACCAGGATAGGTATTTTTAATATAAGATTAGTTAGTTAACTACTTTTATAAACATATAATTATTACATGTTAATACTGTTTAACTACATTATGTAATGTTTTAGGTATATACCCCTCTTACCTCAGCTCAATTGGCCTGCAAAGCTTGGGGCAAAAAAGCCATCAATAAAAAGCTGCTTATCGAGTCTTATTACCTAAACCAGCAAGCTTAACAGCGTAGGTACCCTAACCTAGGTAGGTATATACCTAACCCACTTCGCCTTTCGCACTTTGGATCCTAGCAAACTGCCGTCCGTAAAATCTGTGGGCGGGTTTCATTTTCACCACCAACCTACCAACATGCCACATTAAGAGGTAGACTCTTAGGAATTTTATCCCGTTTTAATTCATTTTTATACTACATACTACCTATACTAGGCACTGCGGTATCGTTCCGTGCCGTGCCTCCCCGAACTAGGTACATGATCTAGAGATCAACAACATTGAACCCAGGTACCTCGACACTTTGAACCCCGCGTCTTTTGAATCCACCCCGGTTTCCGAAATTTCCTTATCCCCAGCCCATTCTCACGGTAGTTTACTCCGTATTTTCTATTTGTGTCGAGGCTGAGCATCGCCATACCTCACCTGATTACTTTATCATACACGTACTTCAATACCTCCATATATCCATACCTCAATCCCTCAATACATCATATATTTCTATATTCTATATTAGCTTCCCCCTTTTCTTTCTTCCCCATTTAATTTGTTTGGCCCCTCGTTCGAACCCATCTCCCCTATTTTACAGCTACTTACTTACTCCAAACGAATCTAAAAAGGTTCGTTCCTATGACGGCCGCCGAGCTCAGAAAAACAGAAAAGCCCAAAAGCTCGGCAGCCCTAACTTCGCAGTCTACGTGCCGCCCCCAGGGGTTTCGCATTTCTCGGCCCATATCTGCGACTTGGAGAATTAATTCGTAATAAAGCGTGCTCCCGCTGTTTGCTTACCCTTATAATACATTACATCACATCACCTTTTCAAACCCTCGGACGGAAATAGCAACGTCAAGCGAACCCCCCACTCATCTTGTTTTATACTCATATATGTCAACTCGTATTTTCTAGCGACGGAATTAATTGGACGTGTCAATCGGTTATCCTAAAGCTGCAACCCATTTTGTATATCAAGACTCCTGACAAAGCTTAAGAGGCATCTGTAAATTTCTCAACCGTGAGGCGTGCTGGGATGGCGCACAATCCCGAATCTGATCAACATAAACGAAAAAGAGACATATCCGATGACAATGGAAGTCAAGCACCGCATGCTGACCGCATACCACAACCGCCTCCGCCTCAGTCAGGTAAGTCCCATTCACCCACCCATACACACTTACACATCCACACCTTCATAGGTAACCTCAATTTGGGACACGATGATATCGTCACGCCTTGTTTCGTATGTAACATTGGCTTCCATCTTTTCATCATCACTATGTCCTACTATGAAATACTCTTACCTTATTTATGTATCGTATCTTTATATCCAATTATTTTATCACACATTCTCAAAATGAGTCCAATTGACCACGTCCCGGTCACGGCCAGGAGTGCAGCTGCTCCGTAGAAAGATACTAACTAACCTATCAATATCGAAGGCACGATAGCCCCTATCAATTATTTGTCAAAGGCCCATCCGGTCAAACTTAAACTCATACAGGGCGACAGCGATACCTTCTCCGATGTTCTCACCCTAGTCAACGAGTATGAGGGTGAGCCGTTTCCACCTTGTACTACTCTTCCTTGAATATACAAGGACTGACGCGATGACTCAGGAGTGTTGAATAGACATGAGAGCCTTGCTTCTAATTTAGGAGCAAAGTTGACGGGTAGCCGCCTACTGAAAGCGATGGAGGGCGCCTTTGAAGGTTCAATAACGACAACTCCGCCACAAACGATATTTAGCCCCGACCCGGTCACATGGCTTGACATTGTCGAGTTTGCTAAGGCAAACCCCGGGGAGTTTGTATTGACGCCTACTCCTAATGGTGGGCGTTGCTGCCAGTTCCCCCTGAAAGGCGTCCAGGTCGAAATTGGAGAGGATGACTGGAGGTTGATAGTATCTGGCGCTCTGGACAGGTTTAGGCTTGTCCCACCACAACCGCTAGAAGAAGACGAGACGGCGGAATTAGCAACTCTAGAAATTGTTGAGCAGCGCCTGCAGGTTTTAATCAAGAAGGCGGATGAAGTGGCGCGTAGGGCCCGCCAACTCAACTACCACTTGAGCGGACGAAAAGCGTCTATACATGCGCGTCGCGCGTCGCAATCAGCCTCTGGTCCCAACTTCCAAGGTGTAAATCAGTCGCTAGGCTCCGGTGCCAACCCCGGTTACGACTTACACGCCGATCTTCTTCAGCAATTCCTTGCTCCCTCCCAACCTTCTAGCCACCGGATCTCTTCCGTTGGTTCTATACCACCAACCCCAAATCCGATGGGCACCGCAACGTCGACTCCGAGAACCTCTATTCAGCAGCAAACTATTCTAGGCAGCAACCGACCTTCACCTAGCTATCACACCGAGCCAGCTATGAGGGATGTCGAGGAAGAGTATCGTGCCTTGGTAACGGCTAAGATCGAGAGACTAGCACGTGGAGACGCTATACATCCACCATGTGACAGATGCAGAAGGCTCAAGACACAGTGCATTAAACACCTAACTGCCTGCCAGGGATGCACCAAGAAACACGCAAGATGTGTGTGGAAAGGCCTTACAGAAGAGGAGGTGGCTTGGCTTAAAGGAGAAGCTGGTGGAGATGGAGATGACGACGGAGATGAGCCAAGGGACTCGGGTAGAGCTGTATTCGGACCCCAATCGCATCTCGAATTCGGCGAACGTCGCAGGGAATCGGAACGCAGCGACGAACGTAGCACGAGCAGATCCGGCTCGAGGATAGCCATCGGTAGACCTGCCGACGAGGTCTGGAGAAAGGGGCCAGAGACGCCAATAAGTAGGCATGAAACTATGGAAGTGGATATAAGAGATGTGCGCCAGGGACAAGAATACCCAAGGAAAGAATTAGCCGGTGGGATATTTAGGGAGCAGAAGTCAATGCTTAGCCACATGGCCTCCGTCGCTTCTGCGGCTGCAGATGCTGCAGCGATTTCGCGCGGGGGTCATCAACATTCAGAATAACCCGGAGCGAGAGCAGGACAACAATCACTTGGCTGTACATATATCATATATACGTGGGTGGGTTTGTACATGCGGATTTTCTTTAGGTGTTGGCAACCTGTATATACCCGGACAGCATACGGCTAGGAGAAGGCGTGCATTATAACTTCATGTCTGCTCATTTGCTTACAATTATATTCGAGACATACGAGAAATTGAAAACTCTGAGTTACCTACATTACTCGATCCTGACAATGGGATGAGGTTGAAATTGTACTGTACTGGATAAACCTGATGTAAGACATGGAGGCTCAGCGAGGTTTAACTAAGTGTCTTACAATCCATTATGTATATCTGACCCCTGGCCTCCTTCGGGGTGACCTGCCTATGTCCCCAAACTTGCTGAAAACCGGGCTCGCGGGTGTTTGAGGCACAGTCAACGGGGCCCCACTTAATTAGAAATCGGGAAGCACGCTAGGTAGTTAGGGCTGTTCTACAATACATACCTAACCTTAGATATCAGATGCGACGGGATAAAACTAGATAGATAAGATAGTGTGGCGGCGGTACCCATTAAAAAAAGTCAAATCTATGCAATTCTTTGACGTCGTCACAGTAGCGAACCTCTAGTTTCAATTTCAAATTTTCCACATTTACATACGACTTCCCACTCACTTGCCGACAGCTTAAACGAACGTTCCTCACTCTATACAAATCGCCGTTCTAATAAGCTTCACAACTCTGAAAATTTTGAATGGAGTGTGTCGGTAGTAAATTTTTATAGTGCTTCTCCGTTGCGTTTGTGCAGGCCGCACAGAACTGACTTATAGCCGTCATCTCCATAACGGGTCATGGCTCAACCGCCACCCCATGCGATTTATACAATGGACAACACCGGAAAGCGTCGCGATGGCACATTCCCGATACCACCACAGTCGCCTCTGCCACAATCTCGTGAGCTCGGTCTCGTAATTCCCGAGCCCGAGCCCACAGCGACAACATCGTCGCCATTTTCCAGATCTTGGCCACATTTGGTCGCCGGAGGGTACGTCATGATTCCTCTTCCTCGTTTATAGAGCTCTTTAAAGCTGGAAAATACCCTCCAAAATAAATGCGTACAAGGCTTTCGCTAAGGCTCTCTATTCTCGCAGTATCGGAGGCATGACAGCAGCTGTGCTAACAGCACCTCTCGATGTTCTCAAAACCCGACTTCAGTCCGACTTCTATCAAGCCCAGCTCCGGGCAGCGCGAGAAGCAACAGGCCAGGCGCGCCTCGGTCCATTGCAATCGGCCAAATATCACTTACAAGAAACGTTCCAGATCTTGCGCGACGTGCACAGGCTGGAAGGATGGCGAGCGCTATTCAAGGGTCTAGGGCCGAACCTGGTCGGAGTCGTGCCGGCGCGAAGCATCAACTTTTACGTGTACCCCACGAGCAAGAGGGCCTACTCGCAGTGGTTAGGTGTATCCCCGGAGAATCCGATTGTGCATCTAGGTAGTGCGGTGACAGCAGGGATCGCAACAGGAACTGCGACGAACCCTATATGGCTGGTGAAGACGCGATTACAGCTTGACAAGAATAACGCCGAGCGCAAGGGCGACATAGGTGCGCGACGGTACCGCAACAGCTGGGACTGCATCCGGCAGGTGATGCGGGACGAGGGTCCGCGGGGTTTCTTCAAAGGTCTGAGCGCAAGTTATCTTGGCATCACCGAAAGCACGCTGCAGTGGATGATGTACGAAGAGATCAAACGCAAATTAAGAGTACGGGAACAACGGATCGTGCAAAGTGGCAAAGAAAAGACCTGGTGGGATCGTACGGTCGACTGGACAGGGAATTTCATGGGTGCCGGTGCGGCTAAAGGTATAGCGTCCATACTGACGTATCCGCATGAGGTGAGTACTCGCAGCAATTACACAGCATTATCAAAGAATTGAATTGTGATATGAAGGGAAACGTGGCTAACATGATAGCTAGGTCGCGCGAACTCGACTCAGACAAGCACCAATGGCAGATGGCAGACCCAAGTATACGGGGCTCGTACAATGCTTCAAGCTTGTCTGGAAGGAGGAGGGCGTCATCGGGCTATACGGTGGTCTAACGCCTCATCTAATGCGTACAATCCCCTCGGCCGCAATTATGTTCGGCATGTACGAGGTCATCATCAAGTTCCTCGGCGCGAAGAGCTAGATGACAATACCTCTGTCGTTAACCCACGTATTAACACCCCCCTAGACAACTTCAATCCTACCGACGCCCACAAATGCAACGGTACACGTCTATGACGGCTTTGTAATAACATTAACTTCGGGTATGAGGCAAGAGGAAAAGGCAATGCTGGATGACTGATGATGCTTCGGGCTTGGACTGGATATCCAAGGAACTGCAGGCACCGAATGAAGCCATTCTAGACAACCATCTCGTCTATATCTCTATCCGCGCACATGCATGGACATTGTGCAGACGCTTCTTCACTATTACTGTATATCAAACGGAAACATGTCATAGAAAAAGGCTGGGTCACGATAGAATTACGAAGGCAAAAACACGGCAGGGTCTTCGTTAGCCTGCTATGTCCAAGCAAGCTAGACCGGCGGGTAGCTATGATCTATACGTGTACAGAGCGGTATGTAGCATGATTGGCGTTGAGGAGAGCAAAAGAGGGATACATGATGTTAAATAAGGCGAAGGAAGGATAAGATAAAATAAAAACGATCCACTCTCAGGTTATGACCACATGTATTGAAGATGAATGTAGTTATATGGCATAAGGGAGAACTAATGAGCATATGTATAGGTATGTAGAGGATTTAAGTGTGCCAAGTCAGATCAGGTATGTTCCGTCTCTACGGAATTATATGAACCATACGTGGGCACGTAGCCCAATTATACACAAGTGCACCAAATATATCGTTTATAAAAAATATCCGAGTACCTTGGATGGTTTAAAGGAATCACGTAAAACTCTTCCCAGACAACAAACAAGTAGATCCCCACGGGCCCAGCAAGGGAAGTATTATATTCCCGTTCCCTTGAATATTTATTAACGAGTCCTTGGGATACTCTTCAGATTCTGACGAGATACCATTTTGGCTACAGATACCTATATAAGACAATCATAGATAGGTACCTAGGTAAGGCTAAGATGAATTGATATAAGCTTAAATTTTAATTTATTCCTATTCTTATGTATTCTACCTAATATGGAGGTACATTAGGTACATACATAGAAGACCCCCATCCCCACATGTTAGTAGTTAGACGAATTGATTCTCACGAATCACAGCTACCTAATTTCGCCGGAGTTTACACGCGCTAAGGGTATATAGTGCCCGATAAAAGGTCATCAGTCATCCAAGGCAACGTGCCAGAGTGGTTAATGGGTTAGACTCGAAATCTAATGACTTCGGTCGCACAGGTTCGAATCCTGTCGTTGTCGCGACTTTCCATTTCTTTTTTGATTTTTTTTCCTCTTCTTCTTTTTCCTTCATATCCCGAATATTGAATGAATGCCTATCCAATCTTCAACTTTTCTCTCGATTCTCTTTTTTTTTTCTCGGGTCATTATTTTATTTTAGTTGACGCGGGGCGGGTTGGGCTTTTAGGCTTAAGCATGTCTCATTTGTCGTAGTTATGGGATCTTTTCTTTTCTACGGATTATAATTACCTACCATCAACTGCGCACTTGCGTTGTGTATACGTATGCTTGCGTGGGTTGCTATCATTTGAGCATCTCATATAATTGAACTTGATCGCCAGGTAAGCCATAGGAGAATCATCGTTACTAAAGCAAGCCGGCTTCGAGCTTTACCCCGGACAACAACGCTATTCATCGGATCTAGTTAGTAGCAATTCAAACTAAAACGACAGTTGCCTGAATCAAGCTCAGACGAAGCACCGCAAGAATAGAAAGCGGAAATTATATTAATGAGTAAAATCGACGAAAAATAAGTCTTTCTCGACTACTAGAAATTTGATCATCATTTTCTGTCGGACGGCTTCAAACCGCGTCTCGATCAAGTCAGCTATGTCCACGCAGGCGTCATGAAATAGATGTACGCAATTAAGTCTTTTAACCCCGTATCCGTAAAGCTCAGGCCAGTGATGTAGACGTTTCCTTCGTTTCTCATCGTAATGTCGTCTCCGTCTCCCAGCTACTACGTTTCGATGCTACCCCCTGCAGGTGAGTTTCTACGAGTTGTTTAGGCGGTCTCTTCCGCAGCTTTCTGGATATGCGACGGCCGCTGGGATTTTGCGACGCGTTATTGGTAGGCCACGAGTCAAAGAGTCGCAGTCACCAGGCATTGCGGTCCCAATTAGGGTCTGGAGTTCGGAGTTAGCCATCCAGTTTCGAATATAGTCGACATATTGACGTCAATCTCTCACGACAGCTCAAATCTGGCTGTTTATTCTTTTCTTTTCTGTTTCTTTTATAATTCCCTTCTGTCCATACTAATATTCCTATTTCAACCCTCATAGCCCATCGAGCAAAAAGGAAAACTACCGTATTGAGAATGCCGTTAGGAAATAAAGATAAACTCACCCTGCACGAACGCAGCCAAGACCTTGCTGCCGGTCTGGAGCAGCGGGTGGCCAACAACGATCTTGAGGAACTTCTCGAGCCCAGCACGGCGACCCTCGATGACGTCGTCGGAGAAGCGGTTTGTGAAGACCTTGCCGGGGAGCGGGGGAATAGTGACGCGGGCGCTCTCGCGCTCGAGAATGTCGCGGAAGTACTCGAAGTCGCTGTAGCGCCGGCGCACCGAAGAGTGCCGTAGCTTGAAGGCTGGGATGTTGGTTCGGCACACGATCTCGTAGTCGGTGTACATGTTGCGCGACGTGCCGTGCGTGCGCGGGTTGCGGACCTGTTTCAAATGGCCAAGTGCCGTTGGTCAGCTTATTGTTACCATTGGTTGTACTGCTGATTCAATCGTGTCGCGTGATGCATATAAAATGATAAAGAGGAGGAATGGAGAAGAGTATAAGTCTTGCTCGCATGCCCTCGTCGAGCAGTATTATGCGCCATCCACGGGGCCATATAAACAATAGCGTGTTTCGGGAAAGGACCTACCTCTATCTCAAGGAAGTTCTCCGGGGGCCCGTAGATCTCCTCGAACGACTGCTGGCGCGTGTCGGGCATGGACTGCAGGATGGGACGGGTTAGGCCAGCCATCCCGCGCGGAGAGGTTGCTGTCGAAGATGTCGAGGTTTGATTCGGCGACGTGTGTGCCGCTGGAACCGCGCCCCCGCCGGTCGCGGGGACCTGTTGTTGGTCGGTGGACGCCGTTTTGGCGGTTTGTTTCGTGACTGTTTATAGTTTATAGTTTATAGCAGTTTAGCTCGAGGTTTTGCGTCAGAGGCTTGCGCCTCGTTGGCTTAGGGGACCAGACGGCCGATTCGGTCGAAACCCCTAGTAGAAGATGAGGTCGGATTTCGGTAGTTAAGAAGTTTGGGGTCAAAGGTACGTGTGGTGTGGTCTCAGCTCAGCGTGATTGGAGGGGAGGGAAGATGGGGGAAATCATAAATGAGGTAAGGTTTGGTGTTTTGGTGGTTGTCCAATGTCGACTATGTATGGAAAGTTCCAGGAAGTGGGATGAGGCTTGGAAGTTGGTACATTAGTAGGTGGGCAACTGGCGGGTCGATAGTGGAGTTGGTTTGCTTGAAGGACGTTGTTTCCCATAATTGAATGTTAGGTACTGCACTGAAGGTACGAAAACATGAAAACGTGCAAGTATTTATGCTCCGTATTTTGCGTATTTAATACTTCACAAAAGTACGAATTACAGTACATACATAGGTACTACATCATAAAAGCTCATGCGGGGAAATACACTATCTGATGGTTACTGCCCGTTTGCATAATCATCCTATCACCTCACTTACTCCGATCTGCCCGAACTAATATTCGGGGCTACGGGGATTGATTAGTAATAACATCAACTTCATCCCATCTAACCGTAGCTAACTAACAGCGACTTATCTTATACTAGACTTATACTTGTGATTATATATACTTACCCCAGCTCTAAACTCTGTTTTTACACTTTTTACGTATCGTTATTTTAACATTCAAATGCATTAATGTGTTGGCCAACGAAATAGTTTATTGGGGCTATCTACGAAAGAAGCCTCAGCTAACAGAAATGGAACCGGATTCCCAGCACATCGCAAATCTGCGGCAGACTCCAATGGGTGTAGTAAATTACCCCATAGTATTGTCACATGATAACCTTAGACATGCGTCTGAATTCTCTCGCGTTTCTCTACCCGTGTAGATGCGGAGAATTAAATCTGCGAAAAATATCCTCCCTGTGCTCAGTCTAGAGCCTACAGGGCGCGAAGTCTGGTTAAGATCCTCAACTTCGATGTTCCCATTAGAACGAGCGACTCGGATGAGCGGTCACGTTCTGATGTACCGTCAATAATCTTTCGCAGCTAGTCAAGCAAGGGATTCCTTCAGGTGTCGCGTTCTGTGAGGGTGGCCGGCTGGCATTGATAACCCCCGAGAAGACCGTGTCGGTGTAGCAAATGGCCTTCTAGAGATCAAACGAGGTTGTGTTGGTTATCCCGTTGGCGACGATCGTTATCGTCGTCGTAGCAAAAGCAAAGTTGGTGATGGCTGCCCCGAGTCTATGCAACTGAATAATAGCCCAAGGTCTAGATGGGCGTCCCGCGCTAGTAGGAAGGCAGCTGTCCTCCAGTGATAGCACGACGGATAATCTTCTCAATGGCATCCCACTCCAAAGCAGCAACGTCGGCCAGCGTCATGTTGTCAAACGCTGCTCCTGACGGCAAATCCATCTCGCACCAGAAAAAGCCCCAGTAATCGGAAGTCTTGCTTTGCTCGAGCTTCAGGGCGCGCTTTCGGCTGATGCCAAGGTTATCTACAACCCGCGAAGTTTCGGCTCTAATTAGAGCAATGTAGTACTGTTCAATCTTGTCAGAATGCAATCTATAAGTGGTGGAATAGGGGCAGTTAGATATAACATACCTCGACGACATCTAGAGGGACGCCGGGCTTAACGCCAAGGGCATACTGATGGCACCAGCCCTCAGCAAAACGAGGCTGGTTGTAATCGCGTAAGTCAAGCTCGGACAGGTTGACCGTGTACGCAATGTTGTCCTTTTGGCTCACGGTGAAGCCGGGGCATAGCATAGCAGCCTTAACAAGTCGGTTAAGGAGCTGTTTAGTGAGGCGATTGAAGTCGGGCTTTTGGCCGCGGCGCAGTGTGCCTTTCTCAAGAAGCTCCTTCAAGTAGTGAACCATCTTGAACGTCGTGTCATAGATATAATGACGCTCCTTGATGGTGATACGCTCAGTTAGGTACCACGGCATCTTCTTTAGAGTGCTGATCATGCACTCGAACGGACGTTCGGGACAACCTTTCGCATATGAGGCCTAAAAAGGGAAATGTTAGAAGCGAGAGCGTAATCGTAATAAAGGAATAGGTTACTTACGTGAGAGTTGGCCTCAGCATGCTTATAGAGCATACCCATCTCTTCCGCACAGACGAATCCTTTGAAGTTTTCAAAGTCATACTCAGAATCAGATGTGAATGCATAAGGAGATTCGTGCCAGTCAATCCCATGGGCAGTAGGGAAGAGTTCCTTCATGAACTTCGCCTGAGAGGCAACCGTCATCTCCACATTGCGGTCGCCGAGTTTAGGGTGGCGCTCCTGCTTGATGGCCGCTCGGTGCTTGTCCACAGCATTGACTGCATCTTGGAACGACACGAACTCAACATAGCAGTCGTTTGTCTTGCTGGTAACGCGGTCCATAATAATATGGACAGGCTCCTCCTTGTCGTTTAGGATTCGAGCGCTACGACCCAAAAAGGCGATGATCTCAGCACGGGTGATCTCATAGGGGATCTAGGAGCAAGTTAATAATATGTCTATAGTCAATCATTCCTATGAATAACTTACGTTGGTAATGCAAACAATCCCGTTGTTACTACGCTCGGCAAGATGGCACGTTTCAACAAACGGCATGTTACTAGAATGTAGCATATCCTCGACAATAGGCTGACCAGTAGGTCCGGTCAATCGATTCAACCAGTCCGAGCGAAGCTTCTGGGCTTCCTCCGGAATAGGATGGAATTCCAATGGCCCGTAGATTGGGGACGTCGATCGCAGACTTGATCGCTGGCTGGAAGGACTCTTAACAAGAGCCTGTCGCTGCTGAATCAGCTCTCTTGTTAGAGGTGTAGGAGAGCTTTGCTGAGCTTTCCTCAATGACTCTAGAAGGCCATTTCCGCTCGAAGAACCACTGGAAGAACCCGATGAGGTGGTATGGGTATGGGTACGGACGATAGATTGCACTGGCTGGGCAGCGCTATGGCTTCCAGGGGGAGCTAGGGGGCTGATTCGCCGAGTTCTTGTAGGAGTGGTACTGTCATGACTTCGACCGCCTGAATGATTGCGATCAAGTAGACCAACTCTCTGAATGCTTGTAGGCGTGGTGAACTGGGTGAGGTTGCCCTGAACGATAGGCGTTTGGCGACCGCGAGAGAGTCCCGTGAGGTCGACTGCCGAACCTAAGCTACCTTGGCCGAATGTCAAACTCTGAGAAGAGGTTATACCAGTTCTACCCCTGAGCACCGTAGGAGATGTGTCCAGAGTCATATTAGGCGGCGCCGAAACCGTCGTATTCTTTCGCTTGTGGCCGCCCTTCTCACTCGGGGGGGAGGTCGTGGGCAGACCATTCGCGGCGTTGTGGAGGACCTGTCTGAAAACTTCCTCGTTCTCGCTCTGAATGGTACAGGACTGTCGGCGGTCACCAGCAACTCTGTCATAGTCTTCCTGCATCGGCATGCCTGTCATTTCACGTTTCTGGAAATTCCAATCTGCAGGAGTCCAATGCTGCTGAAGGCGAAGCAGCATCGAGTGGTCTACGATCGGTGGCTGCATAGCGTTACCTTCGGGTCCCTGATGGACCTGGCTGGAGGGAACTCCATTGGAGTAGTTCTGCAGGTTCTGTTGAGCCTGGTGCATGTTCATGAACATTTCCACCGGAGAGATCTGTAGAATTAGAAGTAAATCCATTAGCATAACAAACTCATTTGTGTTAAGATAAAGGAAGGATATTGGATAAATCTGCTCATCATGGATAACTATTAAGTGGGAAGGCATCACTGTAGGTTTGGGCTCGGGGGTGGAATTTGTTACCTTCTCGTTGCTGCTGTTAGAGGCAGCTGTGCCGGTCATTGATCCCATCAATGTAAATGATCTGGGAGTATAGTGACTATTGCTGGGAATAGTGGCCACACTTGCCGCTTCAGCGCTGTTCACTGCATTTGCAGCGGTGTAAGTCGTAGAATGAGTACCAGCCTCGGAAGAACTAATGTTCGTCTTAAGAGAAGCGCCTTGAGCGGGAGCACCCGCGCCATTACCCTCGCGCGAAGTAGCATTCAAAGCGGCAGTGACAGGCTGTCGAGGAAGTTTGGAATTAGCCCATCGGCTACCGGAAGCTGTAGGTCCAGGCATATTCGCGTAGATCAAAGAGAGATAAATAGAATACAACTGGACTAAGAAATATGTAAAGTTAGCATTATTAAATTGAACCAGTAGTTAGTTGTTCTAGTATGTGTTGATAGATAAATTATTGCTGAAAGGCTGGTGGTGTTCTAGTAGAAGTGCGCGGGAGGATGGGTAGGTTAAGCACTTACATGAAGAAGGTTATTGTTGTTGGGTCGCGACTAGTGTTGTGAAAGAGATGCCAAAGGGATAAGTGAAGCAGTCGGAACAAGAAGTAATGACGCGATGAGGTAGAGGTCCAAGGTGTAGTAGTCCTCAAGACTTCTAGGTGAATGCGCGTGCTGATGTGAATGGGTCGGTAACTACTTTGTCGATTGATATCCACACAAGCTTCATAAGCTATCAGTACAAATGAGTTAGTCTTGGGGGAAGGGGAAAGCGTTATTGAAAGTGCGTTGAAGAAGTAAAAGGAGGAAAGAAGATTTCGAAGTGCGGGATGCTTGTTAAATAAATTTCGGTGGGCAAGTTTGTTTGTAGAAGTGCGCGTGAAGGTACGTAAGGTATTAAGGATAAGTAATTACCAATGCACCGACGGCAGCTGTCAATGCAAAGTCACTTCTGAGGTGGTGGGATACAACGGGGTTGGTGATAGTGGCCAAAAGTGTACAACCGAGGGTACGGTCAGACCGGTCAGACCGTTGCCTAGGGATGTGGTCGTCTAGGAAAAGTTCCACATCATGCACTGACTTCAATATGCGAAAAGCGTAATTTCATGACCAAGAGGGAATGATAAGAAGTAAAGCAAATAAAGAATCTGGGGTGCAGGGCGACAAGGTAATCTTGAGATATCGGGGTTCGAAAGGAGTCCACTCACTATGTACTTGGTCGGTAGTAGATAACTAAAATGCCCGCCTCTTCGTAAAACCGGACTCTACTGAGAATACCACAGTGGAGAAAAGGTTATCCAGACTCTATCTGGATGATGTTTGATATCTGATTGTGTAAGTTAGAAACACCAAGGTATTCTGACGCGGCCAATGAGATTAAGAGGACTAATGAGGGAATATACGTACCAGATATGGAATCACCAAGAGTCCAAGCTTAGGTTTGTGAGTCAGGGTGTTCAATAAAATTCGAGAGAAGTATCACTTCGAAGGGGAGGGGGGGAATGTTTCAAAATACCTACTAGATAACCAGGACGGCGCCGTATGTACCTAGATAATTAGGTAAGTAAGGTAAGTTAGGACCACGCTAAGAAAAGGTGATGGACGAAGCCAAGTTTGACTCACGAGAATATTTTGTGAAGATTATTAAATAGACCTCCCTCAAGACTTAGGGTGGTGAGGGTATTGTAGGGAAGTTACGAGGAGATCACGAACTGGCTTAAGCAAACCCTCAGGTACCAAGGCTACCTATCTATCAGCCAACAGCTGCCGTATAAACCTTCGTATCTTTAACTGTAGAGGAAGGCAAGAGGGGAAAGAGGAGTAATTGTTGGGAGGTAGGTACTCAACAAAGTTGAGGCAAGATCACTGCGGTGGCGAGTTGGCGAACTCGAAATACCCAGAGATTTGATGGGCTCTAATCTACAGATTATATCTTAGGTAGAGATAGCATTATGATATGATGGTAAGAGCTGCTATTTGAAAGCAGCGGTCTTTCCTCTCTAGGTCTTTCCTCTCTACAGTAGGAGTAAGTCCTCGAGACGCTACCGAACGGAACCTCAGATATCGTGGGCTACCAAATTTACGAGTACCACCTACCTGGCAAGAGCGCAAATATCCAACCAAGCTACTTCCAAGGCATTCGATACAACCTTCGTGTACCTAACTAATTATGCTTGCTTCGTTGTAAAGCTAAGTGAAACGCCGATAGGCCATAGGTAACGTTTAAAGCGCACTATATATAATAGCGAGAATGAAGGGTAGGTAAGCACGAGGAAGAGTACACGAGATTAAATGATCAGTTTTCTAGTATTCGACGATATTTCATGACCCTTATCTCTGGATAAGGCTGAAATATTTGGACCAAATCATCTGACAGTTCGTGACCGTTGGTCCTAACGATACTTATATCCGGCTCTACAATCCGAGTGCCAATTTTGGTAGTTACGTTGTCCTCGTAGTACTAGCATTTATAAACCCCAATAGATGGGACTTTTGCTACTGGGTAATCAATTTTAACTTCTGTTGGCTAATAATGAAGAGCTAGACGAAATGATCTTATAAAATTTGTTGAATAGTAACAGATAAAGTCAAATCTCACCATGTCAACAGATATACTACTAGTTACGTCTTCGCCTTATGATCCGTATTGGTCTCGTCTCTCCCAATTTTATACATTTGATAATGTTTTGTCGACATAGGATAGTTAATATGTAGGTATATATAGAATAGTATCCGTGGTGCAACTAAATCCTTATAGATCATCTTCTAATGCATAACGACACTATCGGGAGAAGAGTAGGACAATATATTCCTCGTCTATAAGCATCCGTTGTTACTTAAATGGGCAAAAATCATGAAATTTAGACACAAGGAAGCGACCTCGACTATATAGAGCTTGCAGTCGTAAAACGGGAGGATACGATATGGGTAATATATGGGAAACTATAATATATGTAGAATGAGGATTATTGAACTAAACACGAGGGCAAGCATTTGATAAATCATAGAGCTTAAATACGAAGCTATTGCATCCGAAACCGCAATCTTAGGCGGTTGTATAAAAGATTGCCCGGCCAATCACTTCACTGCATGAATTAGGCACCCCTTGGCTAGATAGATCAAATGGTAACCTGAAATCACTGTTTGCTATCATTTTATATCTAAGTAGTGCATATTGTTGGAGTTCGTTATCTCTATTTATACGACCTCAACCAGTTATGCTCTGGGTATGTCAGTTCTCTCGTCTTCGCGAATTGTCAGCTTCATAGCTCGTGCCTTATTCTCTCCAATTTCAACTAGGAAGAAACCCAGTCCTCCATGAGTGCGATTTTTAGTCAAACTGAGAACGGTAGTATTAGTAAATTGCCGAAAAGTGGGTTGATAGAAGGAACTTACGGGTGTTAGGAAAGATTCGGCTACGAATCTTGCCCGTGCGTTCAACTAGTTTTGGTTAGTTGATCCTGGTAATAAGGGGGTCAATCCTAGGATGACATACAAACAGCTTCATCTCCGAAATCTCCTTATCTACTTCCTCCATGAATTGGATGATGAAGTCCACCAGCTTGTGCTTCAACATCTCCTCGGTATGGAAGTTGGTTATTAAGAAGGAAATATCGTAACCCTATTCGAACCAGATTAACTACAATGCACACCACGGCAACCTTGCCAAGAAATGGCGGGAATATACCTTGATAGGTTTCCTCCTAAGGATGAAGAAGGCTTCAGCTCGCTGGGTCAGGAATCGGGTGAACTTGTGGACTAGGATATTCTCGATCTCGTCTGCCTGCTTGATCTTGATGCTAATTCGTACGCTGTTGATGCTGGGTTCGATCAGGACCTTCTCGTTCTCATTGCGGGCGATGACTAAAGGGTTGAGCAGGACTTCAGGGGAAGTCTGGGCTTCGATCTCGGGAACATTGTGTCGTTCGGAGGTTTGGGAAGCGAAGTTAGAGAGGCAAAGGGCGGCCGTGAGAGTGCTCCGGACGCATTGGAGGTAGGGGCGGAGAGATTGGGACTAAGACTCGAAGTTAGTAGGTGGTTTTAGTATATTTTAATATAGGAGATGGGAGTAGAGTATACCATGGTGCGTAGAGCGGTCAGTCCCCCTAACCTTGGTGTTTGTCCTACAGTGGGTGTGGGGTGAAGCAATTCCCAGCCTGACAGCGGTTCCTTTAAGTTAAGTCCTTTAAGTTAATTAGAGCCTAGTTAATTATGTACGATGTCCTTATGTAAAGGTCTAATGTGGGGGCGCTACATAGCTGAGATACGTACCTTCTAGGGGGTAACTTTACACTAGAACAGAAAGGTAGAGAGATTGTACAGCTACGTAAGCTTGAGCTTATCGATTTACTAGTGTACCTAATGTTAAGTAAGATGGACACGTGACGTTGAATTAAGATTGGTGGAGGTGGATTCTTCTTTCCATTCAGCCATTGGAAGGTTGCCTGCTCATAGTGAATGTGGCTTGACACAACAGGCTGAACAGGGTGCTGCGATAACGATACCGCTCTGTATGTAGTAGCCCCGCAGCGGGGGACCCACTTCAGTTGAAACTCCCCTAAAGGCGGGTAGAATCGTATCGATTATTGGGGGTGACGCACCACGAGTTTGCCTTGCCTTGCCTAACCTAAAGCTACCTGTTGCTAGACGAAGAAAATATATTTCTCCTTTCCACCTTTCCTCCTTCGACACGTCTAAGGTTCTAGTCTAACCATAGCACGGAGAACCTCTAACTAGATAATAGTAAAGGTTATATTATCAGAGACACCACAAGATGGCGACCATACCAGGTGAGTGTCTTGAATCTTGAATTGCAGATCCTAGCTCTATGCTGTTAAGAAAAGCCCACTAATATATTTTCTACTTGGTATAGTCGTTGTCAAACACCAGGGAACCAAGTATGATATTGACGTTGATCCCGAGTCGACCGGTGATGTGTTCAAGTTCCAGCTTTACAGTGTTACAGGTGTAGAGCCAGAACGCCAAAAGATCTTGGTCAAGGGTGGCCAAGTGAAGGATGATACCCCTATGAGCAAGTTCGATTTCAAGCCCGGTCAGACTATAATGATGCTTGGGACTCCAGGGAAGGAAGGTCAAGAGGTTCTTGCTCGACCGAAAGAACAGATCAAGTTCGTCGAGGATATGACGGAGGCCGAAGCAGCTCAGCAAGAAGGCGCTATACCCGCCGGCCTGGCCAACCTCGGTAATACCTGCTACCTTAACTCCACCCTCCAGACCCTCCGTGCTATTCCGGAGCTCCAGGATGCTTTAACCAAGTACGAACCCCAGAACGCAGGTACCACTGGTCTCTTGCCACCCCTGGATTTGACCAAGCAACTACGAGAGCTCTACAAATACATGTCCCAGACCCAGGAGGCCTACACCCCCCAGGTATTTCTAACTGCATTGCGGACTGCTTTCCCTCAGTTTGCCGAGCGCTCGCGGACTGGCAATGGCTTTGCCCAGCAGGATGCGGAAGAGGCCTGGTCTCAAATTGTCACTCAGCTACGCCAAAAACTGCGCGTGAAGGATGCTCCCGATGCGCCTGAGACTTCTTTTATCGATAAATACATGCAGGGAGAGTTCACATCCGAACTCGAATGCGATGAGCCCGCAGCTAAAGAAGGCGGAGAGCAGCCTGTGGTCTCTAAAGAGGCTTTCCTGAAATTGAACTGTCACATCGATGGCAATACGAATCACTTACGAGACGGAATTGCGAATGGTCTGAGCGAGAAAGTAGAAAAGAGGTCGGAAGTCTTGGGCAGGGATGCTGTCTATACCAAGACGTCTAAAATCTCACGGTTACCCAAGTACCTAACAGTGCATTTCGTTCGTTTCTTCTGGAAGCGAGAGACCCAAAAGAAGGCCAAGATCATGCGAAAGGTCACCTTCCCCCACGAGTTGGACCTTGTGGAATTCTGCGATGACAAGTTAAAGGGAATGCTTGTCCCAGTTAGAGACAAGGTCCGAGAAGTTCGAAAGGATGAGGAAGATATCGAACGGGCACGCAAGCGGCGTAAGCGGATTGCCGCCGGCGAGGACCCGGCTGATATTCCAGGTGGTAAGGGTGCGAAGAAAGATGACAAAAAGGAAGAAAGCAAAGCTAGCACCTCAGCGGACGGAGACGTAGAGATGGGCGAGACTTACAAGACGGATGCCGAGATTGACGCAGAGCGTGACGCAGCCCTTCTCGCAGCTAAGAAGGAGCTCAATGCTCTCATCGATCCGTCGTTAGCAAATGACGATGGCGCGAACCAGTCCGGCTTGTACGAACTGCGAGGTGTCGTCACGCACCAGGGCGCAAGCGCCGACAGCGGTCACTACACAGCTTACGTCAAGAAGACGGCCCCGGTCGATGCCAAGACGGGAAAGCGAAAGGAAGAGGACGGAAAGTGGTGGTGGTTCAACGACGACAAGGTATCAGAGGTGACGGCAGACAAGATCGAAGCGTTAGCCGGAGGTGGCGAGTCGCACTCGGCCCTAATTCTGCTCTACCGCGCTATCCCGCTGCCTTCTGCCGAGGGCATAACCGAGTGATTACGAAATTGACGAGGACACGATATCGCATACGGGCGTTTTGAGTGCATGACAAGCAAAGGGGGAAATACAATGGCTAGCATTAGACTCGCTTTCCCTCGATAGGGTACGGTTCGGAAAATAGATGTCTTGCCACATTTGGTCGGGACTTTGAACTCGTTTTTTTTTTTTTTTTTTTTTTTCCCATGTAGGTCTTCAATGCTACGTGTTCTCCGTCGCCTCGGAGTCTAAAACTACCCCGTAGTCCCTAATGTCTTCTCCATACGCCATTTTTTCATATATACTTGCCTTTCTTCCATGTCTATCTATGCCTGTCTTCTCAAGGGTGTCCAATCCGTGGCCGTATTACGCGGTGCGTCCTTAGACTACCTACATACCCTCTATTGAGGTATATGTCCTCCATCCAATCTAAGGGTGGGGTGGAGGGCTATTATGCCTGCTGTTTAAATAGCCGTTTCTTGTCTTGTAGATGCGTAACGTAGATTCCTACTAGAGTAACGTAGGAAGAAGAATCCTAGCATGGAAGCCATCGATTCTTCCGTGGTTCGTCCACCTCCCCCATGCTCTCGCATTATCTCCAAGCCCCGTGATTCACTAATAACTAGGTAGTCCAGCCCAACTCAACTCAACTAACCCTCATTTCTTACTACCCTCCCCCTCCTCACCCGCCGCACCATCAATCATCCTTCCCCTCCTGCTGCTGCGCGCTCATCCTCGCCCTCACGTCAGCCAGCTTCCTCTCGAAGGGGGCTTTCTGGGCGACGAGGGCGGCGCGGCGGGCCTCGAGGCCGCGGATGCGGTCCTCGGGAGTGGCCTCGACGATCTTGCGCTTCTCCTGCTGGAACTCGGCTTGCGTCTTCAGGCCCGCGCCGTAGATGGCGCCGACGATGGTGACGGCCGCGAAGGCGCCGGTCCAGATTACTCGCTTGATTGTTAGGCCGGATATCCCGCTGGCTATCTTGCTGCTGGTGCTTGGACTTGGGCCGGGGGGCGCGAGGCCTCGTCTTGTTGGGCGCGGTGGTGGTCGGACTACCATGGTGTTTTGTGTTTCTTTGATTTTATCTTATCCCCAGTATTCATTCCCTCCAGCAGATGCTGCTCTCCCGTTGTTTCTTTGCTTCTCGCCCGCCTACCGCGTCATCACCGTAAAGATGTATTCCTCCTCTTCCTCCTCCTCCTCTCTTTTCTGAGATATTAGCTATTATTGCTTCCGCTGTCGAACGAGCTAACGGAATCAATAGGATGCAGAACTATTGCGACGGTGACGTAATTCCTCTCCCGGTATAAAGTAGAGCAGGCTCGGGCAATTGGATATGGATATGGATATGTGACTTGGCGGGGCTATTCGTAGTGATCTCGGAGTCGTATGAAGTTAAGTAAATAAGTTGGAGGTTGAGGAGGAATGGCGGGATAGGATTGGAGCTCAAAGCTCCGCGATGAAAAAGTCGGCGCCGCTCGGTCCGCCGCCGGCTTCGCGGGGCCTATCAGTGGATCCTCTGGCTTGCAGGGATATGGCCCTTACTAAGGGGCCCTTAGTAATCCACTTACAAGGTCCGGAAACGACATCATCTATAACGGCTTATGACGTTTATTTTCCCCATTAGTTGATTTTGATTCCCATCTTACATAGAACTTACATAGAATCCCCCTTTGACGTTTTTGGAGGGGTTACTTTGCACCGCATCTATTGCGAGGCTCACGCAACGGTCAAAATATTAGCCGGTATAAGGTCATTCCAGTGTATTTAACGTCTATACGTCCATGAGACCTAACACTATCAGTCTAGGTAGTATCTCGCGGTTGTTCCTGGGATTCATATACACACACCATAGGATCCAGCCTTTACTACATCAAAGAAATTCCCCTAGCTGCGACTCGTTGGCAGCGCAGCTCATCTCAACTAGACTCGCTTTAGTATTTTGAGGAATCACTACCCGCTTGGAGCAATGACAACTCCTCGAGTATTCGTCATTCGCCATGGCGAGACCGAATGGTCGTTGAGCGGCAAGCACACGAGCTCAACTGATATTCCATTGACGGCCAATGGAGAAAAGCGTGTGAAGGCGACTGGTCGGGCACTCGTAGGGGACGATCGATTAATTGTACCCAAACAAATCGCGCATATGTGAGTTCACCTCCCCTTGAGTTTGTTCCTCGAGCCAAAATGGTCGCTATAAATAATAAATTCAAAGCCGTATAACATAGATGGCCAAGTGGCAGCCCACCCTAACCCATAGCAAAAATACAGATAATATCAATGCTTTACTATGATCTGTCGGCGGTAAATCCGAGTAGCTAGTTCGAATTACCTACTCCCAGGCACTGATTATATTTTCCTTCAGATATGTGTCGCCGCGAAAGCGGGCCCAGCGAACCTTTGAATTACTCAACCTCGGTACTACGAATCCCCTGCCGTGGAAGAATCACGGTGAAAAGCCCACCGACGCCAATAACCTTTGCAATGCGCAGGTCGAGGTTACGGAGGACATCCGTGAGTGGGACTATGGCGACTATGAGGGAATGACAAGTGCCGAGATCCGCGAGCTTCGCGCCAAGCAGGGTCTCACTCAGAGATGGGACATCTGGAGGGACGGCTGTGCCGGCGGAGAGTAAGTCACTAGCCCCGAGTTGATCAGCCAACAGCAAGGGTAGAGTTGCCGACGGTTCCAATCAGCCTCGTCAAAGGTCCTAAACTGAGTATAAGGGGAGAGAGCTAATGTCATTCGAAGGAGCCCTGACGACGTCACCCGGCGCGTGGATCGCTTAATCAAAGAGATTCGGGAAAAGTGGCACACGCCCGTAATCAGCAAGCCTGAATCAGAGCACCAATCCCACGGGGACGTCCTGATCGTAGCGCATGGCCATATACTACGTGCTTTCGCTATGAGGTGGATAGGTAAGGCGTTGCATGATGGCCCAGCATTTATACTAGAAGCTGGTGGTGTTGGAATATTGAGGCAAGTGACTTTCCCTTGGGCCAAGAATAGAATGATATTAACAGCGAGGCTATTAGCTACGAACATCATAACATACACGAGCCCGCCATACTACTGGGTGGTGCCTTTGTAGTCAGCCCATAGACAAACAGGGAGTATCAGAGCGCTATAATCTCCCATACATAATATAATAGAATGTAATGCCTGGGCTAAATGTGCCCCCTTATGCTAAAACATGCGTACCTATGCCAACGAAGTACTTATCGTCTTCGAAAAGATTGTACCCCGGCGTGCCCAGAGCATCGACTCGCGGTATGCCCACATGAACACCCCCGCGACGGCCGTCCGGCACAATTACAATACATATCTGGCAGTTTTCCGCAGCAATAGGTGGGCTTGTACAATTCCACAAGCACCCAAGGATGAAATATATACCGCGATAACAAACTGTTCTTTCGGCCTAGGCCTGACTACTGAACCCATTAAGCCATCGTGTTGGTTTAATGGTGAGGTTGCCAGTACTCCTAGTTTTGACGCCCATCTCGCAGCCTCTATTTTCACTTAGCATAGATGCGCTCCTACTACTACTACTACTTGTACCTACTGATAATGCCTCTAAAAACCAAGGAAATAACCGCATATGACTTGCTGGAGCCTCCACTGTTGCCTTATCTACCTAGGTATCAAGAATTGAAATACGTCCACGTACTTCTAGTACGAGAATAACAGCAGCCATACGCAACACTGCCACTTTATTGAATATAAACTCCCCATGTCCGTACGAGAACTAGACCTAGTTAAGAGAATAATACACATGTTTGTATCCCTCGGTGAATATCCATATCCATGTCATGCCGACTTCAAAAATGCGGAATTTCGGCTGTTGTGCAGGAGTTGTATGACCCTTGGCTTATATCGATACTATGTCTATACGTAATAGTCAAAGGTTGCAAAGCCGCTTGGATCTTGCCCGTGGAATTAGGTATAGATGGCCTTAGAAAAATGGGACATAGATCAAGTGTCCACCAAGGGAATTGCTTTCCCCCCGGATCTAGGGACTAGCGAGGCTCCTCAAACAGCCTAGGATTATTACAGCAGGTAAGCGGTCCTTGTTATACCTATACCTCGAGCCATCTTGGTTTCAAAACCAAGATACCTGCTATCTACCTATTGACTCATTATGGTACATGGAATCTACTTCCGCACCAAATAAAGAGGTACATACATAAGACTTCCGATGACTGCTTTATAAACTTTGCCGCGGAAACACTTACTCGGCACCGGCCACCTCAGAAATGTCAGACACTACGTCTAGTCCATTCCACTACCGGTGGTTTTGTTCGATGGTTATTTATTAGGAAGACGCCTCTTCGAAGCAACGGCGTTCCGAACCCAAAGTATATCTTTTTATCATTCGATATATCCCCCGCAACGTAATGCCTCACAGACACTAGGTAGTTGCTCTATAACGCTGAATGTTAAGGTTATTTCGCAAAGCAGTGTCCTAGTGGCTTAAGAGGTAGGTAGGTAGGTAGACGGGGGATTTTTGCTGGGCCATTCCGAACTATCTCGTTTACCCCTCTGGCGCGAGTTTAAAGCAGACCTGCCAACGTCCAAGTTATAAGGTTCATGGCCTGTGAGTCAGACAGCCAACGCGGCATCGTTCTTTAATCCAAGCCCAGCCTAGTTGGCAGAGAGAAAATGCCGTATATTGCCGCCAGTGTAGACGTCCTCCGGACCTTCCCGCTTCCGAGTATTATTCGAATAGAGAATCCGAGCGTGATAGGTAAAGTCCTTCTTACTTCGGAGTAGCAAAAGAGGAACAGCCTCTTCTACCTACTTGAACCAAAGCGCGGTTGCAATAGGCTTAAATCTAGAGTTCATATAGCCCTCTCAGCTCTTCAAATGGGTAACCGGACACGAGCTCCCTCATCTGCAAAGGCTCACTTGTTTGATTCTTCCGGTATTGCTATAACCCTACTATGGGGTGTAGGGAAAGAAATAACGCAGTTCGCAGTTGCGAGTCTGTGATATTTAGCTTCGTAGCCTTCTCCCATAGGTGTTTCAGGAAGAATATGTATGTTCTGATATGGTATGTCGCATGACTGACTACCTATAGCCAAAACGCCAGCCTCGCCACTAATTCTTTCTTGAGGTACCTATTTGTAGGAATACCTAGGTTTAAAAGTTTATTTTTTCTCCGTTGCTCGATACACGTATTCGCGCGAGAAGCTCGGAGTCATCGAAAGGGAGTCGATTCGTAGCCCGGTATGAGTCATGGTACGGAGGTGTTTACGAACGCCATCGAATATACTTTACTATCGAGATGATGATGGGTCGAGGGTTTTTCTTCGGGTCGAAACGTACGTGTCTGTCTGTCGGAGAACACCAAGAGCGCGCCGCGGTATTAGCTTTTTACCCTAAATCGCAAGAAACGTCAACAGATCCCAAACTGCTCGAATAAAGATTAACTTTGCATCTGTGTATCATCGAGCATCGCGTATCCAAGTCGTAGAATTCGGCAATCCTAGGTAGGTAAACCGTAGAATTTACCTACCGATGGAGTTATATGTTGCGAGGATTCGTTAGTAACAGTAGGTAAGAATTACAAGTGTAGTTTAGGTTACGTTACGTTACAGCCAGTCCTCTGAAGATCGACGGACGTTATTATTTAGTCCTAGTGGTTGGTTATTAATTATAATCCGTACGCAGACCCTAATTCTAACACGGCAGGGTTATACAGTAGCAATAGTAGACTTTTTTAGTCTAGCTAGGGAGAGAGAGGGCTTAGGTACGTACAAAGGTGCCTTGTCCGCCTCGTTGGGTTTCCAACCCGCACCAGCAGCACCACCGTGTCAGATAGGTAGGTAGGCTCTTCTTTCTGGCTTGCTTCCTAGGGCGGCCACGTTCTCGACCCAGTCAATTTTCCAAGGGGAGGGAAGGATTAAGAAACAAACGTAAAGTTTCGGTACGGTACGTGGCGTCATCCGCTACGTTCCACATTATAGTTCGTGGAGTCGTGATCTTAACCTTGAATAGAATACTTTATAACTACCTATGTGTAAAAAATAAACTGGAGTTCTGTCCCTCAGGGTCTGTCCGTCGGTGACGACTCGATTCGCTCTGTTCTATACGCCAGGCCGAAGAAACGAAAGACGAAAGACGAAATAAAACACGGCCTATGATACTTGATCTACTTAGCAGCCTACAGCCTACATAGTTTGTATGCATGTAAGTCTGTAAAAAAAAAAAAGCGAGACAACGATCCCCCTCAAATCCAAGCCCCTCAGCCTATAGCAGCAAGGTGTTGAGCCTTACGCTCCATACCTACCTAACATACCATACACTGCCCACCTATCTACCTACCTATGTATATACACAACGCCGCTGCCGCCGAAGGATTCTGTGAGTTTGTGCGCGCGTCGGCTGCTGTTGGCCTTTAGGCCTGCGTACGCTGCGCATCAGGGATTGCCCCGACTCTATAATCCCACTAGAAAGTCTAAGAAAAAAAATAATAATAATAAAAATCAACCGTTACGAAAAAACAAACCCACAACTCGGCATTTTGCAAAAAAAAAACAGAAAAAAAAAGTGTACATTGTTAATACAAAGTATTATCCTAACTAGCCGCTAGCTCGTCCTTTCGAAGGGGGCTGACTACCTAACAACTAGGTAGTCGATACAACTCCGTCTGCCTTGTTTACCATTCTGCGTAGTTAGTCAAGGATCCCTTCGCGTGTCGAGGCTCCGCGGGAGCTATGTACAACGCTTTTACGCCACGGCCTCGACCTCGCAACAAAGCCAGTCAGCCTTTGCTTTGCCGTGTCAAGTTACATATCACGTAGGTACTCGTGGTAAGGTAAGTACCCAACTTGAGTGAGTTTACTGTGTATATCGTAGCTTATATCGTAGCTTTACTCTATAGGTACCTAAGTTAGGAGGTAGACTAATAAACAAATCGAGTTTCAACATATATCATAACTAGATAATTTATATCGTTGTTTTTCTTTTACCTTCTGTAGGTACCTATTGCCCAGACTCTATGGATATCTGTTCGCGTATCTTAGCGAACTGTCCCCGCAGAAATAACATTATCCATGAGTTTTTGCACCTCGCCTCAAGCAGCTCGACGGGGATGCCGGGTTGAGCAGCAAGGACCATCCCTTTTCCCCTCCTCTCTCCTCTGCCTACACTAGGCGCGAGAGCAATGCCAGTGCGAGGTCACGACGTTGCTGGCATATGCGTGTAATGTGTCGCTAAAATCCCCAGAGCGCAACGGGCGACCGGGATACCGCTGTCAACGTCAAATTTGAATCGGCGAGCATGCCGGATCTCTTTCCGCGGCTACGAGCAAAGTGCTACAGTAGCATCCGTACCATCCATGGCCATGAATTTGCCAACAAATTCCAGCCCTTTCTTATCAAACCTTGGCCCTGTATCCACCTCAACGGGGTCCCCGCTGGCCCTAGTTCAGCGCAGCCACCCATATCATCGTCCCCTGAACTTCGAACCCGGTCGTCATCCCCTCGGCCGTATGTAGACACTATGGCATGGAGTTAGCACGTCTTCGTCCGTACCTTACTAATCCAGATAGCTCTTAGAGGCTATCGCGGATATTACCGCTACCCAAAGTAAAAAAATATCTAAAATGTCCCCTGTCTGTATCATTAGTCTGCATAGCACTTTAACCGCATTCAATGTCACTTTCAAAAGCCTTCTGTTTTTGTTAAAAACAACAACAATGTCGCATTAATTCGTCTAGGTCATAACCCATACTGTGAGGGCAATGCAAAGGCAACGCAAAAAAACAACGCTTAGAAAAACAAACGCGTAATGTAAAAGCAAAAATAACCTCCAATAATCAGATTTTTGCCGCGAGGCGAACCAATCTTCTCATCCCTTCTCGTATTCGAATCGAGTGGGCGTCTTTTTTAAGAAATTAAAACGACATGTAGAACCGCTGTAAAAAAAACAGATAGTAAATATGCCACGATCGAGGTTTGTCGCCAAACTGGTGATCTAAGTAGGTAGGAAATCTTTCGAGCAGCCCCGTTCTCCCATTTCCGCGTAATACGCCCTGGACTCGCAGCCGCCGCCCCAATAAACGAAATGCAAATGCTGCCTAAAGATGCACTACCCTCATAGATTAGGAACCGATTAGGATACCCAGAATTCATCGCCGATTTATCGTTCGAACAAGCCGCCAGCAGCCATTTAATTTCCCAACCTTCACAAGGTCTTTCTTTCAACAAGTTCCGCTGATTCCTCCGCTGTGTGCTTGCTTCCATGAAAACTAGCAGTCCTATTGTTGTTTAGTCCTTTCGTTGACTTCGTTGATTTAGTCGCTTTATCATTGTCTGATCGTATTCCGTGGTAGGGTTAGGAGCAGTGCCCATTATGTTTTCCAGACTCATCACAGAACTCGTATTATGACTCGTATTATGACTCGTATTTTGACTCGTATTTTGATGCGTCGCCGGAGGAACAGATGGGCTGCCTTTCGGTGGCGGCGTTCTGTTATCATGCCCAGTGTACGATACGGTTAGAGGTTGTAGTTGTGGTTGTAGTAGTGACACCGGTGTGGGTGGTATCAGTTGCAAGCGACCTGGGCTGCCGCTGGACGAAGGAGACCGCCGTCGAGGATTGTCATCCCGAAACGTTTTCGGTGGTGGTAATCGTACGCCGTGCTCCTCATCTGAAGGTCTTGGTCGCCGCCTCCTTAGCTCAGGCCTCTCCTGCCTCTCCTCCGAGAAAGAATCGTACGAGTTAGTAGGCGATGGTTGCGGTTGGCTATATTGTGGACTCGTAGCCGGATATGCACCACTTGATGGGCCTGCTAATGGTTGACCATATGCTCCAAATAGTTGAGTTCCCGGGGGAATGCCGTTTGTCAGTGCTGAAACGGGAACAAACGCGGTGGACGAGGAAGAGGAGACCGGTTGAAAAACACAATCTTGGTTCATCTTGATACAGTTCGTGCATTTTCCTCCTGGGGAGTTCTGATATCCACTACAACGAATCTAAGCTTTTTGTTAGTCTTCCTCAGAGCTCATTTAATATGCCCATTGGTATAGTGCATTCTCACCTTCCTTCTTCTGCAGTATCTACAGGCAATTGAGGTCCGCTGGCGAGGGGCAGACTGCTGCATCACACCAGCTCCTACGGGCCCACCTCTCGCAAATTCGGGGTATTGCCCTACGGCACCGCGGTCACTCCGGAATTGGAACTCGTACGGATGTGGGGAGTTGTAATTAGCGAAATATTGTCCCATGGGATCTTGAGGCGGATAACTGGCTCTGGGATCTGGAGCTGGGGCGTGGACTGCAGGAAGATAGGGCGGAAGGCAGGGCGGAAGGCTGGACGGAGGAGGAGGGTAGGCGTTGCCAACAGTTGGCGGAGAGTAGCCAGTACTTGGAGGCGCCGGTGCGCCGGGTGGAAGAGGGTATCCATTAGGCTGAGCATAGGGATCTTGTATAGCGGGCAATCTTACTGCTCCTGACGCCATTTGTGGCCGGGAATGATAGGCAATTACTCTCGTACGAACTTCTTCCTCATCAGGTAAAAACCCAGACTCGTGAGGATACACAGTCTCGTCGTTTTGGTCGTGACTTGGTTGCTGTCCTCTATGCCGACGATCTTCTGCCATGCTATGTTAACAGACGCTTTGAGGCGCCAGAGCGAAGTACGAGAGCAGTAACCGCGTAGTAATTAGGAAGTGATCTATGGTGGTGTCTGACACAGGGTATGTTTCGAGACTTAGTCCCCCGGTTGACTTATGTTGTTCTGTTAAACGCGCACTTTCCGAGATAGAGCAGTACAGCGGCCAAAGACCATATCAGGATTTTCTTCTTCTTCTTCTTCTTCGGACACTAAGAGAATCCACGAGACTGGGCCGTGACGAGTGTCAGCTCTATAAGCTATTCGATGCGCATATATTAAACCGATCTCTTGAGAGATTGTCGAGCTCACTAGCGATATATGTAACTGGTGAGTAGTAGGAGCTTGTAGAGGGACGTTGCCGGTAATAATTATAGAACCCGAAGGGAAAGCGTAATGGTGTTAGAGTAAAGGGAATAGAAGAAGAGAGAGCAGAAACGTTAATAACTGCACCTAGAATGACGGCGCAATAAATTTAGGTGGAATGGCGGGGCCAACCGTTGGTCGAAGGGGAAGAACCTTAACCACAGCACAGATGGCGGAGCTTGTAGTGCCGGGAGGAAGAGACGGGGTCTTCAGTCTTCTATAATTTAATTGCGGGATGACCCTTGGGGGCTGCTGCAAGAGAATCTTGGAAGAGTCTAGCTAGCCCGTTAGCTGGAATGAACCCGAGTATGTAGAATAAAGTAGCGGAGCTAAAATAGTGATGATAATAATAATAATAATAATGCTCATAATAAAATGATAAAAATAATCAAATATAGACACATTTTAGTCAGGGAATGAGACGGGGGTTTGGGAAGGGTCTAAACCAATAACGAAGAATATCCATATGCGATGGACTGATGAAATGATCATGTCCAGCCCATGAAGCTCATTAAAAGACACATACGCATATACACCATCGCAGAGGTCTGCGATACAACTCCAAGCGGAACTAACCTGTTATCTGGGGATAGGAAGCTTGCAAAGGTAGAAAGATTAGCCAATAAGTCTAGCTAACAACCAACAGTGATGAGTGATGTTGTGAACAAACAAGGAGGTCGGTTTATGTAGGTAGGTTGATGCCGCGTGAAGGGCCAGCCCAGCTTTATTACTAAAGGGGGGGGTCGAACAGGCAAAACTTACTGCGAGCTGGTACGTTGCGGGATACGTAGCTCGCATGGATAGGTATATGTATATGCGATGTATATGGGTATGTATATTGGCGTATTGTGAACGAGTGGGCGTATGTATGTGCGTGTATGTGCGTGTATGTGCGCCTAGTCACCTAGCTCACCTAGATGTTGGGGCAGGGACAGGGACACTAAAACAATGCGGCATGCCAGTTCTGTGAGCGGAGCAGGGGCCCGCAAGGTGCAAGGTTTATGGGGACGGGAATGTGAAAATAGACGACTGAGAAGACTTGGAAGACTGGAAGGTTGTCTTTGAGTGTGGAGGTTTATGAAGGAAAAGCCCAAGCAAGAGGGCTCAGGTGACTCGGTGTAAGTTGATTCGAGCGATGGTTGCCGCGCTCGACATAGAACGGGCAAAGTTTCAGGTAGTACTCGACTAACGCAGAGACGCTAAGTAATGAAGTAGAGAAACGTACCTTTTTTTTTTCTCTCGAATGACTGACTGCGCATAGGTAGAGCTAATGTTCTACTAGCGGCAGTGTTCCTTTCCGGGGTGGGCTAATGAGAGCGGTGATTCGTACCGGTGGACCAGAATAAAAAATAACGGAACCGACGGCGGATGAACTACTGCGGATGGAGAGGATCGTGTGTCTGCGTGTGGATGAGTTGGCGACCGATAGCACCGTCCTGGCATGGGCTATTGAGTCGCTAACCAAACACAAAAAAAAAAAAAAAAAAGGTTGTCTACTTGCAAAGTGGCTAACGTAAAAGCTGAATGATCTCACTGACGAAGGCAGCTTCATACAGTTTCTCCCGGGACGTTGGTGAGATTTAGTGAGACGGAGGAATGAGATGGATTGACTGATGGATTAAGAGGTTGCGTGTGTGTATGCGTGTGTGTGTGAAAGAGTTCAAGAGTTGTCTGAGTGCGTCTCAGTGCGTCTGAGTATCTGCCCACACCGAAAACTCTCACGATGAGGTCGATTGAAGTCAAAGTCAATCCGACGGATGATGCTTGATTTAGTTAAATGTATAGTTATTTTGATGCTTTAGTGAAAATGTATAACTATTTTGTTTCGCAATTTCGCACAGTAGTAGCCTCGCAAACTCGACCGATATTTTGTTAGATCGTATGCGACGAAAACGCGTTCAAGGAAAAGAGAAGGCGAGGGAAAGGTCGTGTCGCACGGGAGTTATGGTTGAAAGTGCAGCATGTGCAGCATGTGCAGTGTAGGTATGTAGTGGTAGTGGTAGTGGTAGTGGTAGTGCGCAGTATGTATGATGTTCCAATTGGGAACGACAATAACCTTTGGAGCCGGGGGTATTGGTTTTTTGGGAAGGGCTTGGTTTTGTTCCAATCAAGTCCAAGTTTAGGCTAGTACCTTACGCCTAATGGGCAATGGCGGAATCCCGTCAGAACGGTTAGGCCTAACAGGTCGCAGAACGGGCCGCAGAAGGAAGGACCCAAGCTGATTCGGTCGAATGACCGCCCTTCTTTCCAATATACCACCTATGTGCGTAGTATTGTTGTATTGTTGTATTGTAGGTATGTGCTTCTATGCGTGCGCGCGCGCTTGTTGAGCGATATGTTGCTTGCCTTTTTAAATGTTGCAGACAGCGTTTGGGGCTTGAAGAATAAAATAAACAAGTAAGCTTTTTTTTTCTATTTCCTTTTTTTCCCCTTCACTTCTTTCCATCAACATCTAAGAGTCAAAAATAAATAAACCCCGATTTTCACTTACATATATTATGTTAACCTATATACACCAACATGTAAGTATTTGTTGGCAAGATACGTGTGTAGGTATATTGCAGGTTTATAGGTCATGTGTGCCACTTACAAATTATTTACGAAATTGTATCGTGCTAACGTGTCCAGTAGAATGTAAGACAGTCAAATACTGTGGCGATGCTGATGCTGCGTTTTGCGTCTTGCGTGCAGGCAGACAGCCAAGGCAAGTCTACCGTATGTAAAGCGGCCAACTCTGTTGTTGTTTGGGGCTACCCTGAAAAACAGGAGCGCCACGCTCAGTATATTCAAAACCCTATGTTTTTTTTTCCCTTGCTTCGTTATTTTTAGTTGCGTTCGCGAAGGCTTCTTACTGTGCCACTCCCGCAGTGGCAATGCGGCGCGAAACGAAAAAAAAAAAGAGAGAAAGAGATTTCTAGCCGAACCGATCCTTTCGCTCGGTCCGTTTGGCGGTGACGTACGGATCCAAAGTATGATAGAGGAAGGTAATTATAGTTCCAGGTGCCGCAAGGCTAACAAGTGGTTGTGAGAAATCCAATTCCTTTATATTACCGTTGCTGCTCGACGCGGCTCGCTTGCTTTCTCTAAACTGGATTGAGTAGGAGAGCCGACCGACCGACGTTAGGACGAATCTAAAGATGCCTGGTTTTGCAGAGGCTGGCGTCTGATTTTCTCAAATAATGCAAACGTGGCTTGTCCCGAGGGCGTGGAACACTTCGGGTAGGCTGTTGGTAGGCTGATCGGCTTGCCGGGCTCGGGCTGGCTGCACATGTACCGCAGAGGGCCCCCGTGAAGTTGCCGAGAGAGTTCACAGCTGCATGTAATTTGTAGATGCGATGCAATAGGGTAATCGTCGGATCGAGTAGATGAAAGAGTAACTCTCTAGATAAGGTTGAAAAGGTTGGCCGATGCGAGTCAGCCAGTATTATTATGTTTGGTGGTGGGGCGGTCAGCTCGACTTTCTCGTATGTAGTTATTATTATTATATTATTACTTTCCCTCTTCTTCTTCTCCTCCCCTTCGTTTTGTTTCCTTGTTTTTCTTTTCTTTTTTTCTTGTTTTTTTTCTTGTTTTTTCACCCTTCTCTTCTACCCCCCCTTTCCCTTCGAGCTTGTGCTTCAGGCTGCTTGCCGGATGTTAATCCAGCCAACGGGACGTTCGGTTGAGACCCAAACTGACAAGTTCCAAAGTACGTAGTACAACACCGCACGCCTGGGAAGGGTGGTGTAGGTACGCGTGGATGCTTTTTTCTTCCTCTATTGTACCTCTACAATGCCGCCAGGATCCTTCACTTCCGTCGTTAACCCTCAGGGCATGGGGGTCACGTTAGATGGATGGATTGTACAAGCTGGGGCTAATAGGCACCTGATGCACGCAACGCAAGCGTGCAAGGTCCTTCGGGTTCAGATGACGGGGTAGCCGTCAGCTAATCACGATGCCGATGGCTTGACCCAAGGCTCTGGGCACCCAGCTTCTATTTCCCCTCCTTGTTTAGACAAGGGTTACCCCTTAGCGTGCGCCAGTTTGTTCTCACACCGCTGCTTTCCTTGAACAGACACCTGGGGGGACACCTATTAAACCTGCCCTGCCCTGCCCTGCCCTGCTAATGCTAGGTATTTAAACCCGTTCGGCTGGCCTTATTGCTGCTGTTGGTAACTTAATCCGTCCAAGCATGGGATTTGATAGACGCCAGCCGTTCGCACTAGCCTTCCTAGAACGGGAATACGGTAACGGAATACAAGGCGGGCGGATAGATCCCAACGTAGCGGTTCGACGGGGTGACCCGAAACTCTGATCAACGGGCTACACTGCACAATGCCTTCCTGGGAGCGCCAATGGATAAATTGCTGTCAAACTATCACCTATCCCGGCTTGCTATATTAAGGAGATGGGTATATATGATTGCAGATGATATTGGTACTGCGGTTATTTACTCCGGACACCGCTACCACGACTTTTTATGGCGTGAGCTGTGACGTGAAGTAACTGTACTTATATGTAAGTCGCGACGCGAAGGGATCCAGCAAGGAATTAACCCCAGAACCCTGACCAGGGGTGCGGTAACCAGGCCAAATTAAGCCGACCCTTAACGTTTGCGAGATGCGCTACGCAGCCAGCGTTGCCTATTAGGTATAATAGACGAGCTAGTGTTTAAAGGTTGGGACGAGAATGTCTAGATGCGTTGATTGATTGTCCTTATTAGGTTGGAGAATTTCCGACACTGCGAAGAATAAGTCGTTCTCTGTTTGTAAATGTGCAGTGAGGGTGGCCAACCCGTCGCCCTGAAAAAAAAGCAAAAAGTCATGCAAGCTAGACAAGATCTAGAAGCCAGAAAATATCAGTTTCGAGCTCAGGATACCAGTCCTGCCAGAGTGGAGGATTTAAAAGGAAAAGCAGAGAGATTGGCTAGAGGTACATTGGCTGCCTTGCTGTTTACTGCCCAAGGTACGGTGAGCTTCAACAGGTCGTACGAGAGATGTTTAACGGGAGGTCTACAAGCGGCTGCGGTGCAACGTCCAAACGATGATAAACCCCTGAGAAGGCATGCAATATGTAGTGAGATAAAACTATTAGATGGGCTAGATGGTAGGCTGGATGGAAAGCGGCGGGGTCCATGGTG